AGAGGCTACTTTTTATGCCGCCTACCATCCGCGTGTCAGCTTGTCTCATAGTGATACAGGTTAATTATGTGGGTGGCAGGTTACAAGAATGAAAGTGCATTTTCCTGGAACGTTCGTATATTTTCCTGGAACGCATAGTGGCATTTTCAACCCAGGCCAACTGTGATATATAACCAGCATGAAGAGACCGAGGACCCAGCTAATCTCATCTTGAAGTGCCGCCCTGACCCGGTTGTCAGCTGCGGTAACATCGGATCATCCCAGTTTCAGGATCATCCTTCTTGCTATAGGCCACAGCAAGTAATTTTTATGGATGACATCAACGCGCGCATTAATTTTCGCCTGATTTTGAAAAAAAGGCAGATAACTATGAAGAGGGATGGTGGATGGCAGATAACTATGAAGAGATAGAGGAGAAAAGAAAAGGCTCTGATTTAATGTTTTGTTTCTTACTTTGATTCAGTGATATGTGTTGCTGGTTGTATATATGTGAAGTTCCCACCGAATCAAAATAATTTGTGCAATGATTGAATCAGAACTTTAAAATGTAGGAACCTTGTTTTTTTCGGCCCGCCTTGTTTTTTTTCGCCCGTTCGCATTAGATTTGGAGTCTGCGGAGGATGTCATCCATAAAATTTACTTTCTGTGGCCTTATCTCAGCAGGAAGAAGATGAGGTCTTCCCTTGGCCCGTGGGTGACCTACTTTTCCTAACTGACAGACAGTTCAATTATTCCTAACTATACCCTAAATCAAACCAACCGTAATTGAAGATGATGATGGTTTAACTTAAAGTACTCATCATCAGATATCGGCTGTGTGGCGGAAAGAATAATTTCCGGTGGTAAAAATAATCTGACGCCAATTCCCATCCATGCATGCGAGGCTCTCTCAAGAGTTGGTACTGGTATTAAAGCATTGAGATGTTTTCTGGTTTTGGAAAGAAAAACATCCATCACTCATAGACTCCGAAGAAAATAGCGGTGGGGAGATGTGTACATGGAAGAGGCGTGGTGGAGAGACAGCTGAGGGATTGTTGAAACTTGGGCGCCATCTCAAAACTTCGTGGTTGATGGGGATCCAACTTTGTGTGTTCTAGATGCCTGTAGATGTACATATATACAGTCATCTAAAATTGATATTCGGAATCTGCCTTGTAAATATGTTGTTCTTTGAATATGGATCTACATTACAGAGACGTATAGATATAACCCTAGATGAAGATGTGATTCCCCAGGTATGTTTTCAAGATTGGTCTGGATCAAACTATGTATATGTCACATATATATATATATATATATATATATATATATATATATATATATATATATATATATACATTATCTTTAATATTTACTACATTGTGTTTTGCATGAGAGCCATGCCTACGGTTAGCTCACAATTATTCTGGCCGGAGTATGATGCTACCTTCAGGAAAGGTAGCCTTGGGAAGGTAAGTATTAAAACACACCAAAAGAAAATCGTGATTTCAGTGTTCAAGGGAAAAAATTGCAGGCTTTGGAAGCCGGGTTCTAGGTTGATTCACCTCTCTGGTCTCTGCGTTACGTTTCCGTACTGCAGAAAGAGCTATTGACTACCTAATAAGGTTCATGCCTTCAGAAATTACGACGTTATATTAGGTTTTCTGCCAACTCTGCCCGCTCGCAAGCCTGAGAGTAGAATGCGTCTCCTCCGGGGCCGCAACTAAGTGATCTGAGGAAGGGCCCGGGGCATCCTGCATATGGAAGCGAATCGAATTTACGGTAACCTTTTGGTTGCCTATCTCTGCCCCTGCTCTCATAGGAACCGCGCGCCGACCGAAAAATTAGGTTTGCTCAGAAAACGTTTCAAAAATACTCGTTCGGGAGGATGTGAGGGCAGTGAAAAACGTCTTTTCTTGTCAAAGTTTTAACGTTAGAAATTAGACATGCTATTAGGTTAAGTTTTAGATTAATCTATCTACAGATTCCATTCTGTTATCGTCCTAAATCGACGACAGAAGGAACGTTATGTGCCTGTATGGGGAATAAAAATTCAATTTGCAGGGCAGAAAACACGTGTTTTAGAAATATCAAAGCGAACAGACGTTATATCTGGCTAGTCCGTGTAGGGATTTGTGAATTTATCGTCATTTTTCACAAAGGGGAGCTGTCTGTGTAACATACCCGCCGGTATTAGCGTGGTGCGTTTTACTCTTCTCGTAAAGCTGTGCCAATTCATCTTGTGGGTTTTGGATTAGAGGCACATTTTTGTCACAACTATAATGAAATATTTAACGACGCCATATATTTAAGGTCATTTTCAGTATACGATGCATATAATAAAACTGCGCATTTGTAAAATCACTTACAGCATGTTTTACGGATAAACATATTGTACGTTGCATCGTGAGGGAAATTATAAAAGACCTCGTCTTGGCATAGTTGGTATCTACTAGATTAAAAACCTCTAGCTCCTCTGCAAACTACTCAGCATCTTTTGCCAATTTCTCCTAATTTCTTAGCAAGCCAAGGAGAATGATAGAGACCGATAATGCTGAATAATTTCTGCAGTTTGCCACGGTTTGAAAGAAAAATCGTCGGTTCGAACGGAGGCGTATGTTTGCATTTGCCGAAATCCTTCTAAATGTCAGTTGGAAACTGGAGCTTTGTTTGGTTCCACGCTTGACGTGGCGAAGAAATCCGGCGCACATCCGTCATAATGAGAGCCCGATTGAGTTGTAATGGAGTCGTCAGTACACCGTGCACAGCAAAACAGCGGGGAGACTTTAGACTGAAACCACAGAGAACAGAAATAACTGTAGCGTAAAGGTACAAGATGAACTCCTTACTCTCTCTTGCAGATGTCTGGCGGCAAAGGCGTTACCGTTAGAACTTTGCCTGAGTAACATCCGCATCACACGAAAAAAAAATCACGATTCGAGCGTTGCGGAGCCAAAATCCGGATGGTACCCAGGATCTTTTCGAGCGTTGCGGAGCCAAAATCCGGATGGTACCCAGGCAAGTTAGAACGTCCCAAGCCGTTCGTCTGGCCAATTTGATACTGTCTTTGTAGGCACCGAAAGATCGCATTCATTCTATTACGATGCGTAGGTGCATCATAGAATCTATGCGACCTTGGCTTTATATGGCAGTACACTATTCACATGGTATGGATTCTGCATGAAGTGTGGTATGACAGAGTTAGATAACAAACGATATGCACGTGCGACAGTAGCCAATGACCTTGAACAAAAACAGTCGTATCGATATAATACATATAATACGTCCCTGTATTCTGTATTCATACATATATCATGCACGCATATTGAATATTTGGGCGGAACGAAGCTATATATCCTATACTGTAACGATTTTTTTCTTTCATTGGCGATACAAATAAAATACAAAGTAGTCATGGTGATTATAAGTGTATAATAAGCTTGGTATAGGTATATACATAAAATAAGACAAAATGTTAGAAATTGTAAATGGTGACAGCAGTCTAAATCACTCTAAAATTGCAACATTATGTAACCCAACACCAGTCACCATGGTGATAGACGGTCTGGTTCAGGTCATTGACCAGGTCACAACGGAACGGAAGAAGAAACAGAGCTCGAGAGAAAACAATGTTTCCCTTCGGTAAACATAATGATCGATGCAATAGCTTTCCCTAGGTTCTCAGTATGGTAGTTGAACACACGCCACTACCTAGAACTCCCCCCCCCCCTCGTTATAGCACTTGTGGGAAGGATTCCAGCTAAACGTATGATACATGGCGCGTAAAACCAGCGGTTGGTCCGTTATAACGACCCCATTTGTCGTCGTGCTTGAGCAATTGTGTGGCCCAAGGGTTATAGAAGGATGGATAGGCACCGTAAAGCACAGGATTGATTGTTATTTAGCTAACTAAATGTGACATACTGGGACCAAACTATATGTAACACAGAGCGGACGGTTATAACGATGCCATTTATTTTGACGATGCTTGAAAAACTGTATAGGCCATAGATACCGAAATAGACCCCACCGTGTGCACATGATTTTTTTAAATTCAACAAACTAAATGTAACATATACTGTGAAGTAACTAAACGTAACAAAGAGTGGTTGACTAATACACTGTAGTATAATGATGCCATTAATTGTTGTATTGCTTGCAAAACTGTGTCTCCAACAGAAACTGAAATGGACACACTGCCGTATACACTGTAAAACATGGGAATGGTTTTATGTGTAACAAACTGCGAACTAGCTAGAATGTAACACAGAGCGATCGGCTATGATGTAGTCTTCTTCTTGATGTATACTGTGCAACACCCCTCCCTTGGGGTAAGATGAACAGGGATTGTGTATATTGTGCTTGCTTGCAAAGCTGTATGGCCCATAGAAACTGACACCGCCACATACACCGTAAAATATGGGAATGGTTTTCACTTAACCAACTACATACGTGACGTAGCAAGAACGTAAACCTGCAGCAGTTGCATGCTTGGTTGGTTGGTTGTAAGAACGCCATTTGTTGTATATATTGCTTGCAAATAGCCTGTAGCCTATCAAACTGAGATGGACACCGCCGTATACACCGTAAAACATGGGAACGATTTTCACTTAACCAACTAAATGTAACGTAACAGGAACGTAAAACAGCAGTTGGTTGGTTGGTTCTAAGGACGCCATTTGTTGCCCCGGCGCATGCGCGCGCGCGGCCGTCAGTCCCCCGGCAGTGGGCACGTTGTTGCGGTCGGCCCGTCATGAGTTGAGACCGCGCATCGCTGACGGCTGACCTCACAGTTGACTCATCCGTACGTGTGGCGGCACAATTATCCCCCGCTCTTCAGCGAGTCTGACTAGCGCGAGCCGTGCGAACGTGACGTGGTCTCCTCCTAGCTGCTCTTTCAAGTGTTGCTCGACCACCACACTCCGACACACGCGCCTTTTACACTTGTCTGAACGCTGTACAGGCAACAGCGACACAGGTTGGTACTAAGAAACAACGCGCGCTGAGTCGTTCAGAAGAGGCGGGCGGCCGACTACTTCTGGGAGAGGCGCGGAACGGATTTTGTGGCGAACACGTTGTTGCGGTCAGACGCGGGTTGACTACAGCAGGTACAGATCAGCAAGATTTCACCGCAACCAGTCCTCACCATGGCTCGGCTAGACTACAACACATGGATCGCACTGAGCGCCCTTCTACTGATCAAAGGTAAGAGAACATTGTAGAAAAGACCATTCCGTCAGTAGAAATTCTCACAGTTTGTAGCCTGGGCGCCATGCTTTTTCCAGGCCTACACAGGCCAATTCCTCGGCTCCAGGGCCAACATGCCCCCAAGGAAATTGTACCACAGCTCCCTCAGTTATAGACCCTGATTCACAGGTACGCTGGCTAACTCTAGGCCTAGCGTGTTATGTGTTGCGCGTCTGGCATCCAGGCTACACACTTTATACCACAGTCTTTTAATTAAGAGCGCTTTTTGTGGCGCGACAATGATCAAAACTGGCGCATACGTAGCTGTCAATGCGGTTTAGACAACCGATTGTTTACTTTAAGGGGGTTTGATTAAGTACAGATTCAATTTTCCATCCTCTCGGCCCTCCTCCATCTTTAAACGCTACACATGTCGCCCATTTTCCAAACCGTTCGCGCGATCAGAAACCCGGCAGAGCGGATCAGATTGGACCCAGGAGAGAACGTTTAGTTAATATGGGAGTAATTGAAAGAGGAAGAGAAGGAGTGAGATAATTTGAAACGTGAGTGGACTTCTTACGCTACAGTCAATTTTCCTGAATGGCAATTAATTGCGCGCGACCGCGCCGGTTCTACCTGGATACAATTCTGACAAGGGGCGCTTTAATTGGTTTATTGCCGTGAAATGTTTTTCATCTTCGAACATCTGTTTTTCCTTCCGTCTACTCCTTCTTACCATTCGCCTTTTCTTCTTTCCATCTTCCATTTATGGCATGGTTAAACAAGTTGTCATTGATTGATTGATGGACGCATTTACATATTGTTTTGTGGGCTAATCGCACCACTGTGTCATGCCATTTAGTTTTATGGTTCCGTTTCCCCATTCGGGATTTCTGGTTTAGCTCTTTGTACCGTTCAGGCAGCTAATAATATCTCTAAATTATATAACCTGACATCCGGACTAAGAAAGGAAACGAAGACGAAGCCGTTCTTTGCCGCCCGCACAATCGGGCACAGGTGTTCCGCCTCGGAATCAATAATTCCCAGATAAGAACTTAAGACTTTTCTTGTTTAAACCGCCGCCCTTGGAGCTGAAAACCTTCGATTTGCCTCCGCGGAGGAGGCACTAGAACCGCGATCATTACAAGACTTTTCTATTGACCGATTCGCGAGATTTGTTCGCTAGAATAATTCATGACTCATCAACGGCTGTGTGAAGCTAAGTGCCGCGTGTAATCACGTCCAGACATGCATGACTGGAGTTTTTTTTTGTTTTATTCCGGGCTTGCTGAAGCCTCTAGCAACACGGTTAACATTGAGGGGATGTTTTAACAATAAACCGCGGGCGTGGTTCGGGCTGGCGGAGCCCTGAAGCTCGGAAATAAATAAACGCAGCCGCTGCGAAATGAAATCAGCGCGTGTCATCAGTACAGGGCACGTCACTGTCAGGGCTGCTCTTCTGTGAGAGGAGGCTGATAGCGCAGAAACGGTGAATAAAAGATAAACCCGGCTATTATTAAAGAAGTCACGGCTTAGCGGACGGCATGAATCTTCGTCGGTTTGTGTCGGCGGCATGACACCCGTACATGCGGCCGGCGGGTAGACGTAATTGATCCAGAAATTATTACACGCAGGAAAAGTTTTTGAATCATGTCCCGTCGCTTCGGTTTAGCGGCTATGTCTATCGTAGGGGCTAAATCATGACAAAGTGACGGAAGTTAGGAAATCAAACGCCGCTCAAACCGCCTCCGAGGGAAGGATGTGTGAAGTATAGCCTGACACAGCGGCATACTGAGCGGTGAGATACGGACCGAACTGGTGAATCAAATGAGCGTGAAAATATCATTACCTCCCTCCCTGGATGCCATCTTTAAAACCGTCCGTCTACTGTATTCACCGCACAGGTACGAGTAACGTCCGAACTTGGATGACCGGAGGTTTTTATCATCCCAAGGCGGCCAGACAATACGTCTCTATTGTAAGTCATTCGGAAGCGCAGCTCAAACGATGCTATTTGGAGAGCACTTGCTGATATTGCTACCGATTGAAAAATTAACTCACACGAAAAGATGGGGAAGCTGAGTTATGATTCAATCTATGACTTGTAATAAGAACATTCGTCATGGCTCCCTTGGGGTTTGTCGGAATACCGCATCGTTCACTACTATCTGTAGGACGGGTCTGTGCAGTTGTACATACACGTCATATATTTTGCCGTACCGGATGGGCGTTATCAAACTCTGTGGGCGGCAAACTTTCATTTCTAGCTCCTAAATAGAATGAGGAGGAAGGGCATCGTTTGTCATGAGCAGTCGGCTCGGCGTTACCGTAAAAAGGCGATCATAACGCTCTGTTATGGTCCTAATCTAGCATGAAAGTCGCGTCCTCTCAGCGACCGCATAAAGGCTTACCAACAATGGTCTACTCTTGGCGGGAACGGCACACTTTTTCCAGTATCCCTTCTGTTATGGTTGGTCAGCGGCGTCAGGCAGACGATAAGGCCGCTTTATGGCGAATATTGCGCACATCAGCGATCTAAAGGATTACCGGCATCTCCCGTATATTGGATTTTAAACCTAGGCTAATGCTATTACACATAGATTTAACATAAAGGCCACATAAAGGGCAATGGAAGAGAACACGTAATGTTTTAAAAATCCATTTACTTCACCGCCGTTCTCGTGGGACGCGGCGCGGTTGGTGCGTTAGTCACCCGAAGGATGACTCCATCACCGGGGCTGACCGCACCGCGTCAGCGCCGCTACTGACAGATGGTGTGCACGGTCCTGATGTCATATGTTTGAATCTAAGGCCACACTATCTTAATTTCATGGATGCCATCCAAGACAAACAAGTGTGCGCGGGCGAATAAAAAATTCAGCCAATAAATGCTGCTAAACCATAGGGATGGAATTGTTAATTTGCGGTTACGTAGTACATAGCGACTTATACGACAAGCCGGCACATGCTGGCCTTTTGCGGCATTTATAAGTCGGTAATGTACTGCGTTCTGGAGTTCCGTGGAGCCTCGGTAGCCTGAGTGCCATCCTACGTAGTTATAGTCGGCTTCCTATTGTCGCTACTAAGGTACCATGGACTACGGAGTATGGCATTCAGGCCAGAGCTTCGGAGGAGGTGATTTTTTTGGAGAAAATTATTGATGAAAATCACTGCGCGCGCGGATGTCACTCATAAGATGAAGTCAGTGTGGCCTCATCTTTCTCGTACCAGATTTACGCTCGGCGAGGACGCCCCTGATGTAGATTGGATAGTACTATCAACCACAATGTCGTCCCTAGAGGTTCGGGTTTTATGGCTTCCATTCATCGGACCCGTACATGGGAAAGTGCCTGTACGGGAAGAAATCGTGCATGTCCGGGGGAAATCGCCGATCGCCGCGATAAGACCAACTAGAATAACCAACTTCTTGTATCTAGACGAGACATCTTCAATAAAAGGCTTGGCTTGGCTACCGTAAAAATGCGCGCGGGATACGGAATCATCAAAATGTAATCCTTAATTGTGACAGACCTTCGAATTCCCTGTCTGCTATAATGTATTGCACTGTAAGACAAAGCCTAGTAATCAACTTTTCAAATATCTATCCGAGACATCTTCAATAGTGGATTTGGTTTGGCGTACATGTATACACCGAGATACTGAGTCATCAAATAATGCAATCCTTAATTGCGATACACATTCACTGTCTGCTATTATGAGTAATACTGGTAACATAATCAACTTTCTGAGACATCTTCAATATCAGACTTAGTTCGGCCCTCCATGAAAGTATCATCTAGTATCCTTAAGTGTGGCACTATGATAGATTGTGTCGTTACTCGAATTTGGAAAAAAAAATTAGTACTTTTACAAAGAGTTTTGCTGGAAACAGAGCGAGGAAATGTATAACTGTAAGGCTGACAGGATACATGTACAAGACGATAAAATGTAGGTTTAGATATGTCCAACACAGCAGGATTCGCGTCATATTTGCGTCACGCGACAACTTTTAGACAGTCTTGACACAATCTAAAACGCGGTATAGTCGTGAAAAGCTTCTGTAGACACATATCTGGATTATCGGCTATAGGCTATGATAAATTGTGCAGTTATTTGGAATAAGAAGTCCTTGTACTTTTACAAAAACGTTTTGCTGGAAACAGAGCGAGGAGAATATGTAAGTGTAAGGCTATTTAACAGGGTATAGGACGATAAACGCAGTTTTAGGTATGTCCAACACAGCAGGATTCGCGTCATATTTGCGTCACGCGACAACTTTTAGACAGTCTTGACACAATCTAAAACGCGATATAGTCGTGAAAAGCTTCTGTAGACACATATCTGGATTATCGACTATGATAAATTGTGCAGTTATTTGGAATAAAAAGTCCTAGTACAAAAAAACCCGTTTTGCTGGAAACAGAGCGAGGAGAAAATGTAAGTGTAAGGCTATTTAACAGGATACAAGTCGATAAACGCAGTTTTAGATATGTCCAAGACAGCGGGATTCGCGTCATATTTGCGTCACATGACAACTTTTAGACAGTCTTGACACAATCTAAAACGCGGTATACTCGTGAAAAGCTTCTGTAGACACATATCTGGATTATCGGCTATCGGCTATGATAAATTGTGCAGTTATTTGGAATAAAAATTTTCTTGTACTTTTACAAAAAGTTTTGCTGGAAACAGAGCGAGGAGAATATGTAAGTGTAAGGCTATTTAACAGGGTATAAGACGATAAACGCAGTTTTAGGTATGTCCAACACAGCAGGATTCGCGTCATATTTGCGTCACGCGACAACTTTTTGACGGCCTTGACACAATCTAAAACGCGGTATACTCGTGAAAAGCTTCTGTAGACACATATCAGGATTATCGGCTACCGGCCGTCATCTCCAGGTCTACTGATATGAAGGCGGGATCACCCGTGAAACTCGTGGCTAAGCCGGAGAATCGTGTTGATGGTTATGACAAGTTTCATACATCAGTCTCGCCCCCGGGGGTACACAGGTGACAATCACGGTGTCAGTCTCCATCTATCTCCGCCCCACCAGGGTAATTATCCCTGCCCCGGACTGCACGGCCCGCGGACCTCATGGCGTTTACGGGCCCGCAGTTCCCACAGGCGGCGTTCAAAACTCTTCAGAGCAAAGTAAAGCTGACTTAACGGTTATTGTTAAATCACGAGCCACATCAGTTGCAATTTGACTGAAAGGCAAGCCACGGAAAATGGAAAAAGAGTATGACGTTTTATGCGTTTTTATGTCATGAATCACTAAAGGTGTTTAAGGCTTTTGATATTTGCTGGCTAGGGTTTCGCCACAGGCAGGGTTTAGAACGCGTCAAAGCAAAGTAAAGTTATTGTTCAACCATGAGCTCCTTCAGCTGCAATTGGACTTAAAGGTGAGCCACGGAAAATGGACAAAAATATATGACGTTTTGTGTCACGGATCGTGTTTTCAGGCTTTTGATATTCGCTGGTTGTGATTCCCCAAAGGCAGCTTTTATAAATAACTCTTCAGAACGAAGTGAAGCTGACATAACGGTTATGGTTAAATCATTAGCTCCTTCAGTGGCAGTTTAACTCAAAGTAAGCCATGGAGAATGACCAAAAATACGACGTATGATTTACAAATGACGAATAAAGTACGTCGATAAAGGTTAGACATCCAGGCATAAAAACTGTCAGAAGTTTCAAGTAGCATCCACTTTAATAGTAAAAAGTAGTGGATGCTACTTGAAACGTCTGACAGTTTTCAAAACTTATCCAGTTGCTAGAGTAGCTATTTCCTTGTGACCAAGAGAGCATTTACAAATATCCACATACTATACTTAGGCAGATCAATGCCTGTCTTGGTTTCCTCATATTTTTTTTTGGTCAAATCATTATGTACATCGAACTTGATATACTAGCTTTATCTCGTTTTAAAGGCATCCAATGCGATTTCAGGGCAGCAAAACTGGAAATATTCTGAATAAGACAATCTTTATGATATAGCAGATTTCAATCAGCAGTTCATACTTTGGTATTTAAAACTGCAGAAACAAGCCCCAATATGAGTATTTTATTTAATGGTTGGTACCCTAAAATCAGCCAAGGGCCCTTCCAGTTACCATGCACTTTCCGTCAGAATTTTGGGTATGTTTGCTCCATGAGGGTCAATATACAGACAGCAGTGTGTTTTCAACTCAGTATAAAGATAAGTGGCTAGAATATTGACTTTGAAAAATTGGGTTTCCAAACCCTAAAAGCTGCATTGGATGTTTCTAAGGTTTTCAGACGTTCGCCACAATGTAAGACAGGGCAGAAAGAAGACGCAGTACCACAGGGGGTGCGTGTATCGAGACGATTGTGCTTTAGATAATTGTGCCTTTCCAACACCTTTAACAGTAATTGACATGCTCGAGGGAATGCTCTATTGTGTTTTGATGCACCATCCGACACTTCTGTACTCGCCAATTTCATAACGTTTTTTGTGTGCGCCACATTGGGGCACTATAATACCACGATGTGACACCAAATGCTTCTCAAAATAAGCTTCAAATGATGATGCCTTTAAAGTATAAAGCTCAAGATGCTTTTTGCAACTCCTTTCCTTTAAGTTTCAGAACAAACATTGACTTCGCTTTGTTCCATATGTCTCACCGCGTGAAAAATAGCGATGGCAATCCATCTAAAATGATTGATTGAATACCAGGGATGAATAAAAGACTCTCCCGTGTACAGAAATAACTGTGTGAATCGTTAGGAGTGTCGTTTCAATACCAGCGGGGAGTCCGGCTAGCTTCTGCACTCCATACGAGCCAGAGCCGGAAAAGACTACGGATCCTAGAATTTGGCAAAAAAAGGGAGGAATAATTGGCGAGGAGAGTCTGTGTACGGGAAGGTTAATTTTCCCCTCCGATGAGAATAAATGAACTCTACGGTGGCCAAACTCCCCTGGCCAATTATTCTCCCTATTTGGCTAAATTGTACTGCTTTCGAACCCGCGTTGTTAGTTCGGTACTGGAAACTAGGCGAAGACCGTGTTGCTTCGCTAATCTGGGGAAGAGTAGGCGTATCTGATGTAATGAACGTCTGGCTCTTTTTGACAAGCGACTTAGACAGGCGTCATGTAGGTTTAACCAACTCACATACCTAGGAAAGGCTGCTTCGTGGAGTTAGCAACCGTGCTTTGGGATAAGCCACGAACTGGAATCATCAGTATAAGCAAGGAAGAAATGCCAACGGCAAAACTAATGGGTTGTCGGGAACTAGGTCTTACACTCATGTTGCTGTTTTAATCCCCTTGGCGCTATGCGTTTGTTTGTTTTATTTGGATCTCCATCAGTGTTATAATACATAAGACCGAGATGGTGAGACCTATACCTAGTTTCTATATCTAAGGCCATGTTGATTTGATTATATGTATGACCTCCTCTTGGAACTCCAAACTGATGTTAGCGTGCAAATAAAAAACGTTTTGGCAAAAAAAGTTTCCTTCGTTATGAAATCTACATGGCCATCAAGGCTAAACAAATGACTTAACACACAGAGTATGGTATGGCGAATAATAGTAGATATATAAAGATAGATAAGAAATGATAGATTCTTCATTTTCAATTCCTCGCATTGTCTTCTTTTCTGAATTGATTTCGGCATTCTATGACGTTAGTATTGTTTCCCAATACTTTTTTTTGCAGCATACGACATATATTCGCTCATTTTGTAGGATTTACAGTATGGTCGAAAACATTTTTTGGAAACGAAAATTCATGCGCGCGTGGATGTCATCCATATAGTTAAAACAACATGGCCTAATTCTGGAATACTGTTAGGTAGTTCCAGCGTATCTCCAGAATCTCTTTTTATCGCTACAGATTTCCGATCATTCCAGCTGAGGCCCAACTTCTCTAAGTCCTTGATTGTCGACGTTCTTTGCCAAGATCTCATGCAAGAAGTCACCAACTGTCCCATTTATGACACCGTATATATATTTCTTATTCGCTCTCTCTCTGTTTTCTTGTAGCTGTCAGGCTATAGAGAGATTTATCCTCCATTCTGTGACAGCTATCTTGCAACAGAGATGGATTCTAAAGTACCCTTGGGAGCGCCAATACCGCGCCTAGGAATCAAAATGGGCCATTGGAGCCTGGAAGACACGTTCAGAAATTTATCATTCTCTCTCGTGGTGTCATCTTCCGGCAAATTTTCCCCGAAAGTTGCTGTTAGCGCTACACTGCGAGCAAGAGTGGTGATTATGGTAAGCTTTACTCGGAGCTTGACATTTATGCTCAAAGGAAGCATCTCTGCTTACCCTAACAATTAGTTATTTTCACGTGAGCGAAGGCAGGGTTGCGTGCTAGGCAGGACAATGCAGCTACGTCTCCGCTTGATTTGCAAGCATGAATGTGTTTGTGAGCTGTTAACGGCCCAGATCCACAGTGCCGATGGAATAACAGCTATTTCGAGAGGGGGATGGGCTGTAATGTCTCCGCTGGGGATAGAAAAAGCAATTTCTGGGTGAGGAGTAAAGTACGTTTCGACTGCAGATTGGCGCTGCCGAGAAGTTATTATTTTCCACGTCTCACATTTCTCCACTTGTGTGGGCGGCCATATGTTATCACTTATTGTGTTTTTGAAAAATTACCCTTCCTTAATTACGGAAAACAACTTTCGCTACTCTGACTCCATTTCTGACATCTGAATAAGATGGTACATGTTAGTAACGGCGCGGTCACATTCTTAGTAGGTCGTCATATGATTTTGATGCCGTGAAATGTTCAAGTAGGCTGTGACAGAACCAACAACAGAAAAGGATATACCGTATTTTTCCATAACAAGAGAGCCCAATTTTGCAGGACATACTAGTAATAATTAATCCCGGTTTGTGATAATGTGGTAGTTATATAAATCAGGATGAGAGAGAAATTTTCTTTTCCTGGTCAATGCATGAATTTTGTACAACAAATCATTCAGTGTATCAATGTAGGTACATGTACGATCTCAGTAATTCTCTCAATTTTTTTCTCCAACTTTTCAGGGTCATCAGCTGAATCCTCTGCAGGTATCACACTTCCAAAGTCCATCAGTACGCGGCTAGGAGAACCCGCCACCCTGTCAGCCACCTTCACAACGAACCGCCAGATCATCTCCATCCTCTGGTACAAAGTCGACAAGAAGGAGGAGATCCAGAAGCGCGAGCTGGTGTACTCCTACTACCCTCCCCTGGGCCGGCGGGAGGCGCACGGGCAGTACTCGGGGAGGACCCAGCTCGTGGGAAAGGCTTCGCTAAAGATCAATCCCACACGTCTGGAAGATGAAGGGGTGTACGTGCTGTCTGTGATGGCAGAGGGACTCGGTAACGAGGAGGGATTCGTGCAGCTATCCATCTTGGGTGAGATACAGTACACAAACGTCTTATTTAGCCTTTGAGTATCGACTTACGCACGGTCTCAGCCTTAAGTAGGGTAGGGAGCTCTATTTGTCAAGGAGTTCATCACTGTTCGTCCTAATGCAGGGGATCTCCTTAGTGGCCTTGTATCTAGTAGGCTCATTTCGCGCGGCAATCCGCAGGGCTTTGGCAATCCACATCCATATACTTTAGTTTCAATCTGGGGCTTCGCACACATTAAATGAGATCGTGCCTCTTCTTACACCACGTAGCACAATTTGAAATCCAATTTGTCAATTTCCTCTCCTTTTCTCCCTTAAGTAACGGGAAATGAGAATCTTCAATGGGTTATTAATCTTCATAGTTTCCAGGGAATTACGACACCATTACTAACGAATTAGATATATATCTATAATCTATCATTGAGAATTATACAATACCTTTTCACAGTTATATAGTACCCCCGTAGATACTAGTCAAAATAAGTCACTGCTTGGAAACAATAACCATTTGATATGTGTAGTGAATGCAGCACTTTTTGTGCCCTGAATACGGCACGTTATCTTCCATATCAAGTGTGTTGGTAAGAGTCATTGAAGCAAGTTTAAACTGTAATTTCCTACACATGAATTTGGTCTTACGCTATCTTCCGTGGAAGCTAAAAATGCAATAAAGGTACTGTAATAAAGAGTGAGAAGGCATGGATGGGATTTTAGCCAAGACTAGCCTCTGGGCGTTGCGATGTTTTGGTTGGCACTGTCCTTGGTGCTGAATACACGGTAGCGTAATTAAACCTCTTCTTCCGCTTCAAGGCAGCTCAGACGAGCCGTCCCAAACATAATCACACGGCGATGGTAGATGTGTCAAAACGTCCCATTACCGGATCAACCCTGGTATCGATATTCGCCCCAAGACGCTTTTTTTCCTCCCAAGAAAGATTAGCTCCCCGAGGAGCCATCCATCTGTGTTGCCTCACAATGCCGCGGTATTTGATCAACTTCTACTTTGCGCCTCGAGCCCCTTTCACTGTTAGGTAGGGAGCAGCGGTAACTACCACCGGGCTAATCTTTTACAAACAAAATCAATCACTTAACGCCCTTCGTTTGAAAGAACGGACACCAGACGTTAACCTTGTACACTCGTAAATGGTTCTCCGCCGTTTCAGCTGCATTTATAAACTAGATAAAAGGGGTTAGTTTGCCGTGTCTACACTATGGCAGCAGTGAATTATACAGTATAATGGACTTCCAGATCTGCGACTGACACATATTCTTCTGTGATAGATAGAAAAGTTCCATTGAATAAGGAAAAACATCCTCTGCTCTCACAGCTTTGGGAACTTGGGGATACCGAACTTACTGCAAACGCCTGTGGCATTCTATCGATCTTGTGTCTCTCCGTGATATGTGAGGATGATTAAAATCCCGGCGTGGCCCTTCTCCGGTTCCCCTTGCATGAAACAAGCGCCCAGAGAACTGTCCCGCGCGTTTTCACAGACAATTACACAGACACAGCTGGATAATGGAAATCGTCGGTGGTGTAGCGGAATGGTTGGGGGGGGGGGGGGGCTAAATGAAGTTTACTTGTACAATGGAGAACACTGGGGTACTTTGGATATTCATTTTTTTCCTAACGGCATTTAGATTTTACTACATCATGAGAAGATGTTATGTTCTAGGTATAGCCCACTTTTTGTGGCATGTCGGCAGAGGGTAAAACGCTTGCGCAAAACATGGATTTTTCATGTTTTTTGCTGAATGTTTGGTCAATGCTGCATCAGAATTGCAGACAATACCCGATGCAGAAGATATCTTTTCCGACACAACATTTGAAAAAAAAAACGGGACGGGATGTTATCCTTAGATACTACATGAATGCGACCTTAAATGAGACGTTCTGCCCAAGTGATGTGCACAATACATTACTTGCTTACTTCCTTACTTACATGCTACTTTTGTAGTCTAGGTATGACAGATATGTTCACAGATAGTTATAGTAAAATATGGTTAATTGTAAGCACTACTACTACATACACATGGCTGCTAGGCTATTATGTATAGAGGATTTTTCAGATTATTATTGCGTCACACAAACAAATAATCTATCAACACAAAAAATCTACGCATTTTTTTTCAGTTCCCCCCACCGTCCAGGTCGGCCCGTCCGACCCTTACGTCACTTCCCTGGGACGGACGGCGTCTCTGACATGCGCAGTGGGAGGAGCCAAGCCGAACATCACCGCCCTCCACTGGGAGAAAGACGGCGAGATCTTACAGACCGCACGGCTGGGCAACAAGTACATGGGCGGGACCATCCAGACGCCATCTTTGTTGATACGTCACATGAGGAGGGCGGACGCCGGCATGTACACATGCGTGGCTGATCACGTGGTCAGGGGTTCCAGAGCGAGTCTGACCTTGAATGTACAGTGTAAGTTTTTTTTTTATACTTCCCTTTCAAACTTTTAAAAATTGCCTTTGAACTGCTTTTATTTCAAACATTACAGATGAATACAGCACAAACTGGCACTCAAGTTACGAAGACTTATTTTTACTCTACCTCTTAATTAACAGAAACAAAGAAATTATCCTGCCTTACTGTACTGCAGCTAGTTCTAAAAGGGACAACACACCTGAAAACCATGGACAGGGGAATATTCTGCATTAGCTAGCAAATATTGACTTTCTAGTTCCAACACTCCTGACGAAAGAGTAAGTAACATAAAACATACATGCCAACGTGTAACTTATGTCCGTTGACTCTGGATGCGCTCGTAGCACGTTTGACTCCTGTCTGAAGCAAGGACGTCCGTCAACAGATCTGTCCTCTTTGATAAATCATATTCAAAGGATAGCCGCTGTGATACGCTTGCTTGGCGAATGGCACAAAGGCCCGAGTAACTTGTGCATTGAAAGCATGAGCTACTATAGTTAAAAAGTTTGACTTGTTCCAACACAAGAAGGAGAACTCACCATGAATTTTCGGCTGATCCCGTCAACCTTCGTCAGATTTGTGATGCAGTCGCTGACTTTCCGGAAGTCGGAAACGTGATGACATCAGGAGTGCATCAAAAGTGGCGGGAAGACGGTATCTCCCACCATCACGGTTCAGAGAGGGTTGGTGGGCCCTGATGTAAATATTGTAAAGTCCGGAAAGTCAGCGACTGCATCACAAATCTGACGAAGGTTGACGGGATCAGCCGAAAATTCATGGTGAGTTCTCCTTCTTGTGTTGGAACAAGTCAAACTTTTTAACTATGGATTCTACCAACACAGATGAGCTTTCATTCGAATGAGCTACTATAATACAATTCAATGTTGCACATACCAAAAGGAATTCACCTTTCCACGTTTATATAGTTCCTTTGCTTGCTTCCTCAAGGCAATTACGTTCTTGCTCAAGGCAATATTGGCTGGTATTACATTGTGATTCCCACTGGCATTGCTAGGTGGCGCTTCAGTGAGGAGAGAGCGGTTCTAAACCTGACTAAGGTTGCATTCCCCTCATCATAGTTCAAGACTGGCGTAGATTTTCTGCTCTAGCAACTGAGCTAGCCAAACAAGTAGATCGCATTGATATGCCAAGCAAATTATGAATGGCACCACCACAGGCAATTAGAGTTTAGATTTTAGATATTGAAATCGTAAGAAATTATTGTTTGACTTTTATCTTTTACAGACCCCGCCTCCATCATCAGTGTCTCCGAGTCCCTGACGGCCACGGTGTCAGACAGCGTCACTCTGCAGTGTGTGGCAGACGGCAACCCTCCTCCTAACATCACGTGGTCGAAGAACGGGATGCGCCTGCGCAGCCTGAAGACCCCGCTCTCATTGGACGTCATGGCGAGCACGCTGCTCCTGAAAAAAATCCAAGTGAACGATACGGGGATGTATCTGTGTGTGGCGGGAAACGGCATCGGAGAGACGGACACAAAGTCCATATCACTGACAGTAAAGCGTAAGGGCAACATTTCCTTGTCTTGTGTTGCAAAACGAACTTTTGAAAATAGTCTTTGAACTGGTTCAAAAGCTCCAGCAAGCTTTGATTTTGTCCGTTTCAATATGTTATCACATATTTGTTTAGTGACATGACCACATATCATGGCCAAAGGGACTAGTCAAAACTATTTTGCAAAGGAACAGTGCTAGAGACAAAGAAAAACGGAAAGAGAACCGAAAAGATGGGAGGATAATATCAGAGAATAGACTGACACGATACTATGTCAAAAATTAAGAAAAAGGAAAAGAAAAAAAAGAAGAGAGAGATAGTTGGTTGTTACATATTCTGTGTTCCAAGTAATGATAAGACTAAGGGGTAAATGATAATTTTTTCACCTCCTTGTTCTGACTAGAGTACAGAATTGATCAGGAGATAGACTCGTCCAGGATCGCTATCATCGTGGGCGGGACGGCTGGGGGCCTGTGGCTGGTGGTGTGCATCGGGCTGGGTACGTACCTCCTCCGCCGCCGCCGGAAACAGAAGGAGAAGAAACAGTTCGCGTTCTATTACAACATGGCGTCCCATAGGAAACCGGGGGTTGGGAACGAGAGCAGGAACGAGGAGGACAAGGAACCACCACCGTACAGCGCCATGCCTGGTACATGCACATTTACGTCTGAGTTATTTGTTTGAAACGTTTTTATTAATGAAATATTCAAATCGGCAGCTTTTTATTAACGGCATGAGGTCAGTGCCGTATATATCTATCTCTTTCCTTACTGAATTTTGCCTCTCTCAGAAATTAATTTGTAACGCTTGTTTTTCCAACTTCACAGCTAAGCTACAGAACAAGGCGCCTAACAGGTTCGGTGGCATCAACACCATACGGAAGTCCATAGGAAAGAAAGGTGAGAATTTTTTTTAATACATGTATCAACATTTGTGGCTTTTTTTCTTTAGGGTGTAAATATCTGATATAGCTACATCCACTTGGCACGAACGGATATAGGTATTCAATGCAGTTTTGATATTGATATGCAATTTTGTTATTTTTTAATAATATCATATCTATTTACACCTCTCACAGACAGACGTTACGCATGCGCTCTGTACTCTTACCGGCCCCGCGAGGAGAACGAGCTGACCATGGAGGTAGATGACGTCATCGAGGTGCTGGAGGGGGAAGATGGCGGCTGGTGCCTGGGTTACCTGAGGGGCAGGATAGGCCTGTTCCCCTCCAACTACGTCAAGTTCCTGTCTTCAAGCGAGGGTAAGGGTTTTGATGTTGTATCTAAGGCTTAGATGATTATACATTTTTGGTTGACAACGTGTCTTACGCAATTTTATACACTTATATTATTAGGATATTATAATTGCGATCGAATTGTGCAAGATTTTAGCTCTCAAATCACTGACCAAACTTTCGTGTTTGACAGTTCTGGCGATGAAGACTGGCCGCCATGTTGATGTCGCAGAGGCTTCTGGGACAAAGAGAAGTATCTAACGGGACCACAGATGAACATGGAAAAGAATCATGAAAACTATAGACTAGTCTTAGAAAAAAGCATCTACTTGATAAAATGTTTCGAAGGTTTGATGGCAATAAGTCTAAAAAGGATCACTTGTATCATAAAATGTTGAGAAATAACAGTACTCATCAATCTTTGTACCTGTTTAATTGTTGAAATGTACTATCGAACAGATATTTATATTAGTATTTATGTTTATTGTACATGTAGTTTCGTTTCAAACGTAAAGTATGATAACGATAAACAAGCATCGGAGATAGATACCTTAGACAACTGAGACGCTGAAGGAGAAAACTGGTTATTGTTCAATACAAATATATACATAGTATGTCACAAAAAAAGACAATTTTTCCATGCTTTCAGCATCCGTACCCTACCCAAGCAGGCTCTGCCAATGTAACTTTTCTACAAATGTTTAGAGGCGCTCCTGCCGACATTTGAATGTATTACATTATTTTGTCGTTCGCTGTTTGCTATGAAACGTTTCTGTATTTTGGTAGAATACTTGTCTATTCTCTATGCCACTCAATGCTGCTAGCCTGTGTATACACAAGCTCTCGGCTGGAGGTTAATGACCCCACTTGGGGGGCGGCAACCTAGGGCGGCGGCCGCCAGGAGCGCGATTTAGTCAGGCTATCAATGCTGCCACCTACTGATTTTTACGTGAACTTCAACCCGTGCTGTGTTAAGATATGATCATTCTTTTTTATTTTTTTACATTTTTTATTCCTTAACGCTGAAACGCCAAACAATATACAGACCATCTTGTTAACCGACTTCAGCAAAGCCTTTGATAGGATTAATCACACAAAATTGATAAATAAGATGTTGGAATGTGGGATACGTACGTCGGTTATGCCTTGGCTTTGCAATTTCATTTCCAACCGTTCGCAGTGTGTCCGATATCATGGTAAAACCTCACAATGGAAAACTATCTCATCTGGAGTCCCGCAAGGTACGAAATTAGGTCCCATTCTGTTTTTGATTTATGTAAATGATGCTCTCCAAGTCAACAGTTTAAATCGATACAAATATGTCGACGACCTCTCTGTTTGTGAAAGTAGACTTCTCTATGAACCCAGCCTTATCCAACCATCTCTTGATCAATTAAATGTTTGGGCTTCCAAAAATGACATGACATTGAATGCTGACAAATGTAAATTAATGATGATTACCTTTATGCGAGATTGCCCCCCTCCCCAATTAATTTCCGTCAATGATAAGCCACTAGAATATACAGATGACGCATGTATTCTCGGCCTATGGCTATCCCACAATTTGAAATGGGACAAGCATGTTGAATCCATTATAAGCAAAGCTAGTCCCCGACTCTTCCTACTAAAGAAATTGAAACGTTTTGGGCTCCCTTCAAATGACCTAATCGATTTTTACCAAATGTATATACGCCCCATTCTTGAATATGCAGCACCCATCTGGACCTCCGGCATTACGGCCCTACAAACCAGGAAGATTGAACGCATTCAGAAACGTGCATTGTGGATAACCCTTGGTCCTGAGTACACATGCTATAACGACGCCTTATCCAACCTAGGTCTCCCCTCCCTTGAAAAGAGGAGGGAGGACCTAAGTTTGAAATTTGCCAGATCCCTTTTTAACTCTCCCTTTAGACCCTGGCTCCCACCTTGCCGAGAGACGATCCATGTTAGAAAATGTAAACAGTTTAACCAGCTCTTTGCCCCCCTCCCGAGAACAAATCGATACAAAAATAGCCCGATCCCCTATCTTACAAGTCTATTAAACAAATATGGCACATAGTAAATCTCCCATGACCGGCCCACCCAAGATCAGTTATCACGTAACATACTATATATTTTTATTAATAATTTTTACACTGATGATGTTGATATTGTAAATATTGTTAAGTTCATTTTACTCGCTTAATATTTAGCTGTCTATATGTTAAATGTGAAATACTCACTTGTCTAGTCGTGTATTTGTTAACTGTGCAATATTTGTTTCTTTGTTTTTAAACTAGCATATAATTCAGCACTACTTATTTGTTGCGCTGCAACATGCTAGCGATTGTACTCTTTTATCTTCGATCAATCAATAAACAATTATTATTATTCTGTTCATCTATACTTTCCGACCTAATTTTAGGTATCACCAATGTAAGATATGAAATTATCTGTGAGATTAAAATTACCTCAATATATCAAAGTACGCAAGTGATGTTTTCTATAGTACCTACTGTTGAAATAAATGTTATATCTATTGAAATGGTGAGTGCATCTATGAACTTCGTGATTTAAAATACCAGTACATCTATCGTCATGCCCAAGATCTGTATGTATATTTGTTGTAATAGTTAATCAAAACCTAAAGGACTACCACACAGGTAAAAAAAATGCGTTAAATTCACATTTCATCATCATCACGAAAAGTACGATTACAACAGTACAGACAAAACGACCACGTTGGAACTCTTCACGCCGTTGCGTCTCTTCTTAGTTCCGCTAGATGCCCCCAAAGTCCAGTACACTCAAGATCAATGTCTAGAGTTGAACTACCAACAGATTCCGCTTGGTGGTGTGGAAGCAAAGTCTTGGAAACATACAGACACCATGGAGGTAGAAAAACTACCTCCATGCAGACACTGTGCACTTTTAAACACGGTACTTTAAGTCAGCCACTTGTGTCAGTTGGGGTACATATCTGTACACTGACGCAGGCACTGTGCACCAGATTACACGATGTTAGCAAAATACTGACGCCACATTTACGACGATTTCATCTTAAAAGCTTGGAGTCATTCAGGTTTTGTTTGATGTTGATCAGTACTTCTTTGCAAAGAATATTGTAGTACCACCTCACAGGAATCGACAATATAGAGCAGTCCAGGGCACTATCGATAACTATGATACAATGCCATGTATGTTGTGTCTTGAACATGTAATATATATACATCAACAGCATTAGGTCATTGACAAAGGATCCTTTACACATAGAACATACATTGTACAGGTACAATATGCCTGGGTCAAACGGCATGTACAGTATACAACTCAAACTGTTTCCTAAGCGTGCACATTAGACACTGGAGAAATCGACAAGTTTGTGTATCGTAACGTTCAGCAAACTCAATCCACAATTTTTCCTTTTGTCCTTTCCACCCATATTGCCATTGTTGAAGCCTCCCAGGCCTTGTCTGGCCACATGTACACAAAGCAGTTGTCATGTGTTTTCTATGTTCTCCATGAATGTTAGTGTTCAAATATACACATGAGATGTTGATTTTCCACATCGTTCTCAGATAATAACTGTCATGTTCTTGGTACGACGTAAAAGTCATAACGTTAGTCACAGGAAACAATTATAACTTGTCAGTGCACTCCCCAGCGGCGTGTGTACCAGTGATGAGCGGAAGTAACCGAATTCCTCGCGCGTTTCTCATATGCTTCGCTTAGAGCCGGGGGCGTCGGACAACTCCAGGGTCTCCAGGGCCTTTCTGGACTTCATTGCAGCAACTGGAAAACCGAAAGCACACAATTTTCCGTTGAGAATATCATTCTTGTTGGGAGATATCAGAACTGAATTTAGTAATAGATTCAGAGAGAGAGATACGTTGGCAGAGTCGTTGCAACTGCCAAGCATAAAAGACCTACATTTCTATGAAGTTCAGAAAATATATTTACTGTTATTTCATCGTGTCGCAGATGTTTGTAAGCTCCCATACAAACCTTCGTTGCTTGACACAAACTTGACGTAGTTGGAGGGGAACAGGCCTATCCTGCCCCTCAGGTAACCCAGGCACCAGCCGCCATCTTCCCCCTCCAGCACCTCGATGACGTCATCAGGCTCCAGAGGCAACTCATTGTCCTCTCGCGGATGGTAGGAGTACAGCACGCATGCGTATCTTCTGTCTACACAAATACATTATGGCAAACCCTATTAAGGCCATTAGCCTAGATTAAAACTTCTACTAACCTCCAGGAATATAAAATGGAATTTTGAATAGGAGAAAACTGTAACCGTGACTGATTGAGGTGGGGACTTGTAAGATCGCATTGACCTGCGGGCTATGAGAGAAAATTACATGTCATACTGACGGAATAACAGAACCATCACCGTTCTAGCGATAAATCTACGTAAGAAAATATGCTATTATGATGTGTGGCATTATATGGCAATAACCACTTTTCTCTATTTCTGAGACATTGTCTTGACTTGTTACTTTTTCAACTTACCTTCCATTCGAATACAAATTCTGTTTAATTACGAATTGTCGCATTGAAATACACACCTTTCTTTGCCAGCGACTTCCGCATGGTGTTGATTCCACTGCGTGTAGAGCCCCTCACAGACAGCTTGGCTGTGACGAGACAGACAACGATTGTGATATAGTACCTTAATTCAAGCCAAATATTTTGCATTTGTTGCCTGTGGTACGTATACATGTAATGGTATGATAAAGTAATTCGTGCATCTAAATTGACGCATGAACTCCATAGGAATCAAACTAGCACATACATGTACGTAAACTAGCTAGGTGCAAAAACTCAGAGAAAGGTGACTGAAATTGCTTTGGATGTCTTTGAAAACACACTGGGATACATCCCCAATCCGGGCACGTTTTCTGACATTCTTACGTACTTTGCCATCATTAAAGATTAAATGGACAAGAAATCAATTTGTTTTTGATGAATTTAGATTGCCTCTCAGGGCAATCCCTCTGACGTTGAGAATGACTGATGATGCCATGGCTCCTTGCGGATGTTCCACCCCTTTACACATGGCATTTACGGTGTTTTCCCAGATAACACGAGCAGTGAATACAAGTGACTGTAGTGGCGATGAACGTGTTTTCGGGGCTGCTTGGGTGTTTCTCAATATGTATGAAAAAGTACAGTGACCCCATTTGCCTTACTGTTGGAATGAGCGCGATTACCAGCAATTATATGATCCCATGACCAGAAAATTGACTTTGAAAATCCAGTTTTACTGCCCTAAAATCGCTTTTGGTGCCTTTAAATGTTTTGTGCGTGGGCGCGTTTATTCTTGTGAAAGTTATTACTGATTTGTATCTATTATTACATATTTGTATTTGACTGCGTTGTATACGCGTGCGGTTTGCACAAATTTAGGACCAGTTTACAGAAGTTTTGCAAAAGTTTGAAACTGCTATTTCAAAGGTTTAACACTAGATTGACTTAGAAACTTAGACTTACAAAAATAACCAGAGGGAGGGCACCTTTTTGTCTAGTCAAAGTATAGAACATTTATCACGTTGACGTATCTAAACCGTGCCTTGACGTATATGCTCCAAGCTGTTACCCTTATAACTCATGTCAAATGTAGACGCCAAGTGAAAAATGGGGGATTTAACCAGGGTTTGCTATGGTGTAAATTCTACAGGGAAAGGTTTATCCCTTTGTCATGGAATAATCTACAAGTGTTCGTTAATGCAAGACTCCGGGACCTTCTTGGAATCTGGTGGCCTAGAAAGATTAAGAACCAAGAACTGCTGAAAATAACAGGCCAGGAACCTATTGAAATCACCATTAGAAGAAGAAAGTGGCGCTGGATTGGACACACACTGAGAAAACCACCAACGTCCATAACAAGAACAGCCCTAGACTGGAATCCCCAGGGGAAACGTCACAGAGGCAGACCGCCTCTCCTGGAGAAGAGGCGTGAGGAAAGACCTAGAGAGAGCCAACGTAACCTGGCAAGAGACTAAGAAGATTGCGAAGAACTGGAAACGCTAGAGACTACTCTCAGAGGCCCCGAGTGGGCGAGGAGGACTAAGTCAAGTAAGTCAACTCATTGAATAAATAATTCATCTTCACAGACAAGCGGCAATAAAAGTTATCTGGTGTTGGTTAAGTCTGATGCAATTTTGTCTGATAGTGACCTATATAATAAAATGATTTACGTTGTAACTAACATAAGTAACAGAAAATGCAATACGTTGTACTTTATAGATATGTTGAGCAATGAAGTTATTATTTGTAGCTATCTATCAATCAAATTATGTAAGTTGCATTTGCAAGTGTCATGCTTTGTAGATCTACACGGAACGATTACCATGATATCAAAAACCCGGGAACATGTCCAATTATTCAATGGAGGCAATAGAGATCTCCCTAGAGGCCCAATTTGCCAGAGCTCCAGAACGGTTCTTGCCGGCTGCTACTGTGAGCGATACTGATGCGATACAATCCTCGCCTGAAGCAGTGGAGCAGGTTCTGATATCGGAAGTTGGAACTAAGCCAGTCAGACTGGGATGTGTCTGAGTTGATTTTGCGTGAGGGCTGTTCTGCAGATATCAGGTAAGTGAGATGAGGCGTGTCCTGAGCCATAGGGTCAGTTATCTGGCTGAAGGGATGAAGTAAGGTCGAAAGTTCGATGACACTGAATAAATTATCGACATGCTGGAAAAAAGTTTCCGTAACAAGCCAGAACAAATCAATCTCTTGGTTGTCGGATTTACCACATATGAATCCGACAGTGCATGCATGAAAAATTCACAAGTTATTGTTGAAAGAGCAATATGTTGCCTGTGTGCAAGGAAGTTGCTTGCTATGAAAATTTGGGTCTGTCACAGAATGTCTAATTCTGTTTTACTCATATTTTTCTCACCGGCTTTATTATTTTCGCAATGGCACCACAAACTGCACCAACTATAAATGTCAGAAATGGGAGATATTTTGAAATATTTTGAAAATCGAACGTAAATTACTAATCTCCAAGCAGATCCCTTTCAGTGGCAAGACAGTATCCATTAGCCAGAGGAGTTTGTACGGCCACCGAAGAGTAGCTAATGGATACTGTCTTGCCACCGAAAAGGATCTACTTGGAGATTAATAAATTGCAACCACATTAATATTTTTCTAAGTAAAATGCGTAATTTTTTTTGGGTGAAAAATGTTACATAGTGCCCATTTATCACATACCAGACAATGCGGAATATGGCGGTGGTTCCTTGTCCCCGTCTGTGGCGTCCTTCCCTTCCTCCGTCATGTCTCTCCTCCCGGCGCTGTAGTACAGGGAGAACTTCTTCTTCTCCCTCTGGCGGTGTCGTCTGCGCAGGAAGTACGCGGCCAGAGTGATGCAGACGATGAGCCACAGACCGCCCGCTGACACACCCACGATCAACGCGATGGTGGACGGCGTCATTCTCATACCCTGGTAGGGAACTAAGGAACAACACAAACTTTATTGCATATTCGTAGAAATTTCATAAGATAAGGTACTTCCTATGGGAAACGTTTAGTTGGATGTCTAGCCTTCACCAACGTTTTATTGCATATTCTTAAACTTTTTATTGGTATGGAATGAAAATGTGCTTTTAGAATCATCATTGTAATTTCTAGCTATGTTTGAGATTTTGTCCTGTGTATTGTCCTGATCACTTATGTTGAAGGGAATCATCGACAGTCATCTGAGGAGACAAAAATTACTCACGTGACACAGTGAGCCTGAGTGACTTGGATCTGGACTCTCCCACCCCGTTGGTTGTTGTACACATGTAGTTCCCACTGTCGTTCAGAAACACCTTATCCAGCACGGCCGATCCTACCGTCATGTCTCGCGAGATCTTGCTTTGCTGCGTGGGTAAGGGCCGCCCGTCGATAGACCACGTGATGTTGGGAGCAGGGTTGCCGTCCGCCACACATTGCAGGGTGACCGTGTCTTCCTCTTCCGCAGAAATAGAGTCGGAAATACTGATGATAGTAGCTGGATCTAAAGTCATAGCAAAAAAAGCTTCTGTAAGTTTCGCTTCTAATTGATTTCGTCACGTAAACTATATAAGCTATAGACCCACGATCGGTTCTTGATAATATAGTCATAAATGCTGATAATAGCAGCTGGATCTAAAGTCATTGCAACAAAGAAGTTTAGCATTACACAAATGACATGGACAATGTAACGTACACTCTAGTTACAAGTTGATGAGTAAGAAAATGTAGTGTTTGGCTTCTATATCTATTTGACAGATGTACTGTATCTATTTGACGGACATGTACATCCGTCAAATAGACCCAGAAGCGCTGTGTAAGTTTCGATTACAGTTACTTTAGACACGTTAACCATAAAGTATAGAGCCACGACCGATTCTGTTATTTTTACAATGCCAAAAACGAGTGCCTCACATACTCACAAAGTACTTTCACCAGAAGACTCGCAGTGACTCTTTGCACCACGTGATCCACCACGCACGTGTACATCCCAGCATCCTCTCTGTTGACGTTCCGCACCAACAAAGATGGCGTCTGAACGGTTCCTCCGGAGTATTTCTTCCCGAGTCTGGAGCTGACAATGATCTCGCCATCTTTCTCCCAGTGGAGCGCTGTGATGTTGGGCTTGGCGCTCAGTACTGCGCATGACAGGGTGGCGGCTCGACCCCACGTGACCACGTAGGGGTCAGAAGGACCGACCTGCACTGTTGGGGGGACTACAGAAGAGAAACACAAGGAAAAAAATTTCGTCAAAGCTAAAGACAAACTTTGTCAAAATTGCACTGCAAAACCCAGGGCACATATCCTATAAGTCGCAGCCCTGTTTCCTGAGAATTAGGAATAAAACTTCGTCAAAGCTAAAGATAAACTCTGCTGTCAAAATCTTGAAATGCATTTCATGCTAAACCCTGACTACATTATCTATAAGTCACAGCCCTGTTTCTTGAGAGTTATGTATAATCTAACCGCCAAAGCATCATTTCGTCGTCCTTTAGAAAGATTTTGGTATGTTATACAGATTTCGGCATAAGTCATTTCCTGTGGCGTAGAAAAAAATGTAAAGCTTCGGACCCCAACAACGACCTTTCATTTGTCATATTTCCTAAGTAGGTTGCACATAAGGAGAGCCTCTAACATTCATGAAGCAATGTGATCCATTTTGTACGCACTGCTTGAGTACGTATGTACAACATACATAAAGAATGATATGTTTTGTATTGAATGAAGATCCTTCATTTCTATAAGGATCCATGTATCGACTGAAAACACCTAAGACATGTGCCCCGCAGTTATGCGGTACAAAGCCGAAATTAGAATAAGCACATTTGCAAGGTTAAAGCCGTTCAAGGTTTGCCGAGATGGGAAGGGACCTGACGGGAATGTATTGTCTCGCTGGTCCCTGATCACTGCGGGGTAACTAAGTCTTTAGACCCGCCTCATGATTAACGCCAACTGGCAGACAGAGAAGCAGCTTTCATCAGTCAGCTCTCCACCCGGAGAGACGAGGAGAGAGATGGATCTCTGCTTCACTAAGACAGATACGCCAAATTAGACTACGGATCATCAGGCCGGAACAGATGCAGAGATAGCGCGGACTGTATCCACGGGTAAGTAATCACTTGGACAGCTTAAATATGCATGGAGTGCAGCTTTCGGTGCCGGGGTCGGAATGCAAAATATCACCATGTGCTACACTGCACGAAAGTCGGATTTACCAATGATACTTTGTATACTGCACTTGGCTTTACAATGGTAGTCAATAAAATCATGTATGGTGGTTTCATGTACAACCCTTGTTACAAATATGTCTGGAATCACCGTACATCACTTTTATTTACTACCATTGTAGAGTCCAGTACAAAATATCACCGTGTGCTACACAGCACAGAAAGTCGAATTTGCCAATGATACTTTGTATACTGCACTTGGCTTTACAATGGCAGTCAATAATAATTAAAATCATGTATGGTGATTTCATTTACAACCCTTGGTACAAGTATGTCTGAAATCACCGTACTTGATCTTTTATTTACTACCATTGTAGAGTCCAGTGCCGTTTATATCATTAATAGTAAATATTACCCGACTACACTGGTATTTACTACCATTGGTACATCCAACTTTTCCGGCAGTGCTAAAGGTATCAGCAAGACGCTCACCCAGGATGGAGAGTTTGACAAAACCTTCCTCTTTCCCGATGCCTTCCACCATGATGGTGATGACGTAGGTCCCGTCATCCCCTGAGACGGTTGGGTTTAACTTGAGAGAAGCCTGATCCACGAGGCTCGCTCTGCCGGCGTAGTCTCTCTGCGGTTCTCTGGTGTTAAGTGGCGGGTAGTACGAATAGACTAATGTTCGTCTCCTGACATCCCTTTTATCAAACTTTTCCCACATTATGGACATGATCCTCCGCTGTGTGTTGAAGGTTACCGGGAGGGTTGCCGCGTCTCCGTCCACGGCGTTCACTGTGTCAGGGAGCTTTAAGTCGACCTGTGTCTGCCCAGCACAGCCTGTGCACAAACATAGAGAAACGTGACAGTAAAACGTTGATGAAGGTTAGACATCCAGGTAAAAATATTCATACAAATCAAACTCTACTACTGGATAAGTTACAGAAGATTACTTCCTGACATTTCGAGTGACACTCTCCTTCAGTGTCTCTAAAATAAACAAGTCGACGCTAATCACATGCGAAGGAACTGGAAAACAGTTGAACACGACCAAGACCTGTTAGTGTCACTGTTATATAAATGAGGATAAGGTAGTTCTTATGGTAAGGGACTCCGCCCTGCCACCGCCCAAGGGACAGTAGAGATTTATTTGTTTTTGAATAGTACAGTAAAACATTGGACACAGAATATTCTTAGTAATATTTATGAGCCCATTTTACACAGTGATATACATGTAAGGTACGTACTTCAAAGAAGCACATCAGTGATATTACTGTGTTCTAAATTCCGTTTTTGTGCGTGGTGGATTTAAAACAGATTTGCGGCACAGGATAACTAAGTGCACATTTTCAAACGTGCCCATTTTGATGATCTGGTACGCAATAACTGCCTCTGAACTTAAGCTACAAAGTGAAATGGTGAATACCGTAAGACGATGTAATGTGTTCAGTACTGCCAAAATTAAACATGAATGGAAAATGAGAAAAAAGATTGATAGAAAAGTGGAACATCAATCCACGGTACCTTTCGCAAGTATTGCACATAATATTACCATTGTGCCTTAAGTAAGCATATACATTTGCATCGTTGCAATATGTAGCACTTATGAAGGTATATGAATGAAATGATTATTAATAGTCTTGCTTAAGTTCGGCGCCTTCGTCTTTCATCACTTAAGAAGAAATTTATCCGATTCCCGCCTAGTATATTTCGCTGCGAACTTATTTGATCGGGTGAGGATCATTAAAAAGACGTCCCATGGTCCCTCGCCGTGGGTTGTGATCATTAAAAAAATCACAAGAGAAAATTTACATTTCATAACAGGCAGAATAATAACGTTTGCTAAACAATTATTACATTGAAATTCTGAGAATACATTCATTTTCAAACAATATTACAATATTTTCTATCTAAGCTTTATGGTTATATTATTGTATAGTATCCATTGGTTGAAATAATGAAATTTTTCAAGTTTGTAACCAAGTATTATGTTGTGTACAGATAATAATATCATATTTTCATATATAATAAAATATTTTTCATACTTCGAACCATATAATTTTTGCAATATTTCATTAATAATTGGAGATCATATCCTACTCGATCCAGGATTTCAGAAACCTCACCGAAACAAATCTTTGGCACGTTTTTGGAGGCGTGCGCGTGGAGACGGGGTTCTAATTTATACCTCCATATCGCGTAATAACGCTGTATTGAGTGCACATCAGACACATTACTGCTCTATGGATCGGTTGTAGATTGAATAGTCTGTCGGCACCCGGCACAGTATATAACACAGAAAAAGAACTTTATTGCACGGCAATGCCACATGGTAAAATGTATGGTACAAAAATGTATTGAATGAGACCTAATATAATATAGGGTTAATGACCCGCCCTGAGGTGAATACGGTGTCATAATTCATGGCCGGTTCCTATAACCACCGAATGAACGACCGAGTCCGCGGAGCGGACGAGGTCGTTTATGAGGTGGTTATAGGAACCGGCCATGAATTATGACACCGTATACACCGAAGGAAAGCGGGTCATTAACATTATTATCATATAGACATTGTCACATATGCATGTACATCAAGGGTCATCAAGCTGACACATAAGAGAAACAACTTCTGTGTAACATATAGATCTTTTATCTTGCATTGATGTGAATTCCCATCGCAGCAAACCAATTATTTACAGCTGAAAGTTACAGATATGAACTAAATTTATCGGTGAAGTTTACCGCTGAATTTCGAATTCCTCAACTGTTTCTCCACCACTATTGTCCAAATCCATCTCTGCGGTTGCCCCAAACACTGCTTTTACTTCATCTGACGACAACTCAGCAGTTCTATCAAAACTAAATTAATTTACTACTCTACATAAATAAGTCTATCAGAAAGGTCTTTAGAATTAGAAGTAGGTTAGAAGAAAACACCACCCTGTCATGTAATGGTAGCGTCGGTTACGGACCCGCAGGTCCGTATATCGGATATTAATGACCTGGGTTATGGGGGAAATGGAGCCTTCTGATTGGTCGACGTCATCTGGCTATATGATAATATAGAATAAAACCTTATGAATTCTAATTACTCAAACAAAAAGGGATAGCACAAGACTTTTTTTTATAGTGTTACGAGTTTCGGTATATTTTCTAACAACAAAGCAGTCTTTATCTATATTTATATATTTTTGCACTGTGGGAATCATTTAAGATATACTTAGTATTCAAATCTGCCTCTAGCATCAAGACCCTTGAAATCTTGATTCGAGAAATGTAGATGGCTACATCTCCATAACATCTCCAGAAGCAGCGGCAGTAGCGAGGAACACCAACCATCAGCACCAGTCCTACTGCCTGGGTCGCTTCGATTTTTTTACCTCCTCAATTAGTCCGACTAATCCCCCTTTAATTGACTTCGTGAGGGAACCAACTCGCCTGTGACCCATCCCAATCACTTCTTTATGGCCGAAATATATGACTGCTGCAGTAATTACCATTTATACACCTTTTATTGGCAAACCTAATCTTATTTTATTTAGCTGTTTCTCGCTATGCTTTCTTAATCTTAAACTGTTTATATAGTGATTCACAGAGGGATAGATCAACCGGAGAACGATGCCTTTGGGACTTAAGTGTGCTCCGCACATGTTTACGTTTTTAACGATTTGTCTTATGTAAAGACGGTAAACGTTACGATATAGTAAGTGGAAAATTAACTTACCGGAAAAAATTAACCTGGCCCGCTGTTTTCCAGGAACGGTACCGAGTACTACCAGCATCATACAAATTTAGCAGCCCGAGTTTAAGAGTGCTTTTTTGTCCCAATTTCTTCAGTGAAACGTTTTGTTTTTGCAATTGTGGGTGATTTGGGTTGGTTTTGACCAGATCCGATGAAAGAATTGGTTGCAATGGGACATCCTCAAGAACTTAGCAATATCTGTGTTTGATATCCACATGACCCAAGCGTTATGCGCCATTACCCAGGCATTTTATTGCTTCACGTCATGGCCTTGTATAGGTACTATATACAAGGTTAGGGCTAGAGGACCAGTGTTTTTAGTGCGTGCCCAACGCTCAATGGCAATTTTACATCGCAATGGCAGACGAATGATGTAAGGGAGTACATCGTTATTGGAGTGCTACCTACAACGGATGGACCAGCGTAACGTTGATGAAGATTAGACCTCCAGGTATTGAGATACAGCAGGAAATTTTTACTCAATCAACTGGATAAATTTTGAAAACAGTAAAACATTTCAAGTAGCATCCACTAATTTTCGTCAGTGACAAGACTTTCAGTGCCCCTGACGAACAGTAGTGGATGCTACTTGAAACGTCTGACAGTTTTCAAAACCTAGCTATCCAGTTGCTTGAGCAACTATTTCCTTGTGTGTTCATCATTCATTTTTAAACACAGGTCAACTAAAGTCTTTTTATGTGATTTGTTCACTAATAAAGAAACACCACATGTGAAGAAAATATTACGTAGACCGTGCACCAATACATCATGAACGGTGAAGCAGCTACAGGCAGCAGATAAAGTAAGGCGAGTGAGATGTTTTACAGTTTTACACCACCGTACGGTTATGACTTATAGTCCCAGTGATGGGTACATAAAACTGTGGAGTATATATCCGGGCTTCAGCGTGCCAAATTCCGTGGTTTTATCACTGCCTGAGTGAGTGGTTGTAGCGATATTTCTCACAAATCGCCTACTCGACTATTATAATATCAAGCGCCTAGTTCGAGCGCTCCCGAGTTTCATTATCAAGTTGGGGCCTCTAATCGCAAGGCACGTGTTCGTATCATTCCACAACCATGCGTCAAAAGTGGCGGAGATTAGTCTGTGCTTTGCCTGTGGAGGCCTTAGGAGAGTTGGGAGCTTTCTTGTGTGCTGCGTGTTTCCGTGTTGAGATGCAGGCCCGGGAGTGCCGGAGTAATTACTACAGCCTGACATGACTGGCACGGGGAATGGGAAATGTTGCCAGTGTCTTGTCGAATGGAGAAGCGGGTTTTCAGGGGCTGGAGTACGGCATTAGTCTGTAGCACATTAACCCGGAAGGATACACGGAGAAATTCGCTTTTACAACCTCAGGTTGAGCTGAGAGCACGGCCATAAAAAGTTAATAGGGACACCGCGCCTTTGATGCCATACGAGTTAAAAGTAGCGCAACTGGTCGCGCCTTTAGACTGGGATGTGCTGTTATAGATATGTGTTTTGAAAGATGATTACCACACTTCATTTATATTGATTGCAATCAATCGTCAGTTTTCCTTTGTTTGGGAGGTTTTTGTACAAACTACTGGTATTACTCTCCAAGTAGAGGTATATTCTTCGGCGTATTTTCAGCTTGTTTTAGCATTTTTATCGGACTCTTTTTGTACTGTTACCTTCTTTTTACGTCAGCATAACCTCGGGTGTCGTATGGTAATTGCATGACAAATGATACTGCCTGGCCAATTTACTGTCTTTGCAGCCACCAAGGATTGCCACTTTTCCCTGTTTTTCAGGATCCTAGAATCATGCTACGAGCTTTGGCAAACTCTACTGGCATGTACATGTACTGTTATAGACAACGATGTAGTTTCAACCAAATCGAAGTTGAAGTTTGCAGTACCAGTACGACCTGGGGATGACCCCTCAAATCACGAGGCAAATTGGAAAACCCGGCGCTTCCCCGCGCTTTGCCGCACAGTTCTTAATCCCCGCCCCTGTCTCGGCGGGAGGGGACCCCGGGCGAAGTTACGGTTCTCTATCGCCGCTCCCGGAACCCATTCCGTGCGTAATCAAGTCTCCCAATCCTCGCCGCGGTAAATCTGGCAAAGCAGTTGGCAGAATGGATGGCTCGCAATTTCCCGGTGTTAATTCTTAATGCCCCCCGCTGAAGGTTCCTGGGTTAATTTGGTCGCAGCTCGAGCCTGGGCGCTCGGATGGGGGTGTGCTACTATTTAAAAAGTCCCTCTCACATAGCAGAATGTAGCCTCCCTAACACTAGCCGAACACCCCCCAACCATGCATGGTTGGGAGCAGGTCGGGAGCAAGGTCGGGTGGCAGGGCAGCTGATGTTCGGACAGGTCGTCTTCTGTTCAGCCGCGCCAACAGAATGTTTCAAAAATATTTTTTTTACAAAATTCTGGTGTGTACAGGAGGTTGGGCCATGGTTGGCTGGAGGTCGTCAAGTATTTGGGAATAGGTCGGGCTTGGTTGGCAGTAAAATGTGACTAAAAATTCAATTCGATTCATAGGCATGGCCTGTAAACCTGGCCCGACTACCCCCGAGCATCAGCCAACCTTGGTCGGCTGGTGTTCGGGGAAGGTTCTGACTGTGTGACAGGGGCTTGACCAGTGTCCTACAGCTACTTAGCACACAGGATACGGCACCGTGGACATTCGACTTGGACCGCCAGCGTCCTTTCATTCCATGTTCACAACGCGACGCTCACGGCATTTTGATGGCAGGAAGACAGATTCGACTTCACTGAAGCCTGTTGTAGAATGTATCGCAACATTTGCTAAACATGAAGCCGTCACAATCATAGGAAGACATCAAACATTACAACTAAATCTACGGTATTCAGGTCCATCTGTTAGACATGCTTGAAGATGCACGATAGGGATAATATCTCCCACCAGCACAATGGAACACTAAAGTAATATCCTCTCTTTATATTATCTCATGACTATCACAATAGAAAAAATTATGTGAATTTATCTTCATATGCTAAAAAAATTAAACCGTTAAGACTCAGATTAAATAGAATGTAGTATCTACGACCTTTGAGTTATTCTTTTGATTACCATATGCTACTCAGTACTATCATACCTGCGATATCATGCATTTAGCCCCTTGGGCATGAATATTCAATAAGGATTTGCTATTCGCTATTAGTTGACTGCATTCAGAATTGTCTATGTGATAGTATTTCAATGTTTGGCGAAGACGTATGGCGAAGATAAGCGCAAATTGGGTTATAGCTGTGCTCGCCTTCCTTGTAATTTGTGGTACAGATTATCCAAAGCAACATTATGTGCGTATGGGCTCAGCAAAACTTATATCACTCACGCACTCCAGATTATCAGGGTAAACTTCTTCAATCATTCAGCAAATGCACTTTACATATAAACGAACTCCGCTTGAGGTGCTATTAGATATGTGAGAGCGAGCACATTAGTGGATATAGATGAACGGCTGATGGAGCTTAACAAAGGGTTATAAATGAGTTGTAAAGTTTGATTGGAAGAGTGATAATGGGGTGGATATATTCCACAGCCGTGGAAGCGATATTGAAGTAACAACAAGATCTTTTCCAGTGGGTAACCGTGTATTTATTAGAAAGACGGATGGAGTAAAATTGCTGGGTTGGGAAGGAGTAGTGGAGCTACATCCTGCTGACAAATACGGGTAAGAGTAGGTAATGAGAATGCTTGTGAAAAAGCCATTTGTAAAATTACGGGTTATAAGGAGTGTGCTATGACGAAGGTGAAGTCATAAGGAACACTGGGAGACGTGATGATAGGTTTGATAGGCCGTGGTTTTATAGGCAAGCATCGCGTCAAGAACAAGGTATAAAAATGGTGCAGAGTTCGTGATATTTGAGTGGACATGGCGTGTGGGTGTACTCAACACATTGTAGGCAGCCATGCGAAATACATTTTGTGTTACAACAAAAAGGCTAGCTCAGAACTGACGGTACTTTTCATTCAAGTAAACGTTGCGTCGCGACACGATACGGTCAGCGAGGAAGAGAAAATGCCACAGCAAATTTCACGGTTGTGCCGCTGTAGAAATCCATGACTGAAAGATGGCGAAGGGAGCACCTACCTGCCACATACAAAGCCAATATCCACAGGAAGAACGGTTGAAAACTGGCCATGGTTCAAAGATGTCGCTCACTGGTTTATCGAATTAGGAAGATGGCAACTGACACTGGACGTCCCAGCCGTCAGGTATCACACGTCTGCTCCAAATCTTGAGGCGCCGGAGCAGGCGAGGCGTTCCTTACGAATCAGTCTCTTTCGCTCCTTTCCTTTGTGGCACCGCAATCACTCTGATTATTCCCGTGAATAAGACGTCACTACATTATAGACCTGCCCAAAGTACGGTTCCCTCGCCGTGAGTGGCAGCTTCAAACAAGAGAGTAGTCGGCAGTACGTGTTCTCTGCGCACGTCGGTCCCTGTGCTGGCGTCTGGACCTGTCAGTGTTGCAGGCCGTCAGTGTTGGTTTCCACGCCGTACTGACGGTCTTCGAGAGTCACCAGGGAGCCTCGCCTCCGGGCTAGCCTCTCCAGCCTCACGGTTATCCCTCAGAACCGACGGAGACAACCATACGTCTTGCCTCGCGCGCTTTCCCCTCCAGCACTCCGCTACAGAACCGCCCGAGTCCGGATGACTTTGTCTCTCATCTAGATAAAAGAAACGCGCGCGTCAAAACCACGCCGGTCCGTTCCTCCTGTTAAGTCCGACTCGGGACGCCACGGAGGCTGCTGCCGCATGATAAGTGCACGGACGGGACCGAGCAACACGCCCCTATATTTGCCTGTGTTCTGTAATTGTACGGCGGGCGATGATTGATCGCGCGAGCTGAAGTGGTGATTACCGGTTGATTGGGACCCCAAGCGAATTGCGTGCTCGCAAATACAGCATGTATCAGACCCTCAGTCATCGACCTAATCCGCCTGTATTCATCAAGGCGACCTGATTGGCAAAAACCCGTAAAAAAACAACACTTTCGGCCAAACGACCTTTTCGCATGTGAAGCTAGAGCCCCATCTTACATTTAAAGTATGACGAGAACCATTAATATACAAGAAACCTTAATCTTGGCATATCATGTATCAGTACATCCATCTGTCACCAAGGCGACGGTGGCTTAACATATGTCTGGAATCTAGTTAAACTGGCCTTCGTTACATATGGAAATACCTTCTGCAGTTTGACCTTAATGAACACAGCTGAGATCACGGCTACTCCTATACCCTAACTAGCCCTCACAGGAGCGTCGTAAGCCGCGGCTTATCCAGGTGTGCTGAGTGAATGATAGTGACATAGGCGTACAATAAAACAGGTTTTATCTACACGAGTACTAACTCCTACTCTACCCGCCCCGTTCTTACGGCTTTCACCGAGCCGATTTATCTGAATTTACGCGGATCAGATACCTGTTCGTGCATGACGAGTTATGTGTTTTTCCGACTTAGCACGTTGCCTTGCATCAGTCTATAGATTTGTGGAGACAGCTCGGCTTGAGAAAGACGCATGGTCTATAGTGTTCAGATCTAACTCTAATCCAGCCCTTCTGTTCACTCTAGGTGGTAGTTTGTTGTACAGTTTGTTATCCCCAGGCCCCTGTTACACAATCAGAATCTCCCCTACCACCAACTAACCAAGGTAGTCTGAAGCAGTCTGACTAGATTTAGGCCACGTCACCTTTCCATACGAATAGAATCAAATTAGTGTTAGATTTGAGTCAAATCTGACCCCCAAACATGCCCGGAATACTGCCGACCTACTCCCGACAACTCGCCAACCCGAGTGCTTTAAACATTTTGAAACATTCGGCTGGTGCAGCCGAACAATAGCCAACCTCGCCGATCACCAGCCAACCATCAGCCAACTTGCTCCCGACCTACTCCTAACCATGGTTGGGGGAGTTCAGCAGTGTTCAGGAGGCCATATTCGGCTCTGTGTGACAGGGTCTTCAAGCTCATCTGTCCTGCTACGTGATACGTGAGTTTTTGCGTGGGTGTCCTACAGTATCATTACTTGTTGCGCCGTGAGGATGCTTCTACCCGTGATATCTTTAATGAATTAACGTACATCTTTGTTTGATTATATCTAGCTGGAAGTGATACCCTCCTGGTGAAAGATGTAAAGGATTACGTCTCGACATTCAAGTGTACGTCAACGTACGTCAGCCGTAACGATATACGAACTCAGATTTACGAACTGATAAGACAGTAAACCGTGTGGCGGCCTACGTGGGCGCTTTTGTCTTCATTTCACCGCTGCCAAGAAGTTTGTCATGGAACTTTTAAAAGGTCACATTCAAAAGACAGATAAATGATCACTTAGTGATGACAGCAACAGTAAGAGTTCGAAATAAGGAAGTTCAACGCTATGGAGGAAAGAAGATAAAATTGTTGACATGACTGACTCTAAGCTAAGGCCATGTTAAGTTGATTATATGGATGACGTCCGCTCGCGATTGAATTTTCGTCCGTTTCGAGAAAAAAAAAACGTTTTCGACCATACTTTAGATCGTAGATAAGTGGCTGCAAAATGAGCAAATACATGCCGAAAATTGGAAAAAAAAATTGCAAACGATACTTAAATCGCAGAATGCCAAAATCCGTTCCAAAGGACAAGAAGATAATGTGAAGGAATTCACCATGCCAATAAAATATTACTCTCGTGTGTTTAGTCATTTGTTTAACCTTCATGGTCACCTTAATTTCATAATGAAGGCAACTGTTTTTTGCCAAACGTTTTCATTCGCACGTTTGCATCAGTTTTGGGGTTCCCAGACGATGTCATCAGTGTAATCAAATCAACATTGCCTAATTTAAATTGGCCGGCTACAAAAGAGAACGTGGATGGATTATCAGTCTCTGTCTGTGGATAAAGACAGGAACGATCGTCACTGTCAAGTTTCTTCTTGTATAGTCAATAGGGAGGGGGTCACTTGGGTATGTTTTTTGTAGATACAAACAAAGGCAACCGTACTCACCAACGACTTTATGATATATCAACCACATAGGTTTCTTTTTAACTATCCAATCAGGATTGAGAATTCACCTAATTGGTCGATCCTAACTGTGAAACTAAGTGCTATGATCGATACGTACTCGGTAACGATGTAGCTTATAAAACACTTTCGACTGTAAAGTCCAATTAGAGGTTTTAATGAAAAACACTATAAAGGTTGAAGATCCCAATTAGTGTAGCCAACCTTTCTCATGTTTATAGACCAGGGGAGGATAGGAGTACATGTTATGCGTACATCTTTCTGTAACCGTTATGACTCTAATGTGAACCCGAGCGAGAAACAGCTTGTAGAGTGTGTCGTAAAGTTTTCTTGGAAGGCCATGTTGATTTGATTATATGGATGACATCCGCGCGCGCATGAATTGTCGGCCGTTTCCAAAAAAAAAAGAAGAAAATTCAACCATACCGTAAATCGTACAAAACAGTTGCAAAATGAGCAAATATATACCATAAGTTGCAAAAAAATATTGGAAAACGATACCAATGTCGTAGAATGCCAAAATCAAACGATAAAGACGAAAATGTAAAGAAATGAATTTAAAGATTAGATTATTCACCATACCATACTCTGTGTTATTTGTTCGACCTTCATAACCACCTAGATTTCACAATGAAAACAACTTTTTTTGCTAAACTTTAACTTTTTTTATTCGCACGCTCGCATCAGTTTTGGGGTTCTAAGAGGATGCCATCCATATAATCAAATCAACATGGCCTAACGCCTTGAAGACGCCTTGAAGGAACCCAAACCGATTTCAGGTCAGTAAAACCGGATTTTCAATTTCCTGGTAATTCTTTGAATGCAGTAGTAAGTTGAATCCATCCTAACCCAGAGCATACTGATATCTGTGAGGCAAAAATGCGATGTCGCTGATGGAAAAGAAGTTGCTTGCTTCGTATCATAGACTGGGTCCAGCTATATATTGGTGGTACCAAAAAAACAAAGAGACTACTCACATAACTTGTTTTGGTTCTATTTCAAAAGAGTCAAGTATGAAATAATGCCGAAAATATAAGAAATATGCAGTAAATGTCAATATCAGACAGATTTCCTTATTCAGATTTTTTTGTATTGCCGCTATGCATATGAAATTGTATAGGCACCTTTAAAGGAAACCAGGCGTGCATGATATGAGTGTATTTTACACGTGAGGACAGATTGAATGTTCGTCCGGCCCATGCTGTGATTATGTGTGTCTGCCGCCCACAGGACCGATCTGATGCTGCTGTACGTGCTGCAATATTGATGTATATAGATCTGGAATTGTACATTGGGGCTCACCCGGGCACGTACAATGGGATGGCGCATTGCCAGGACGATGTAACTTGCTATCGTGTACACTCCTGGAGACTGTGATTCATCAAGACACTTCAGACTTATTTTGGCCAGGCGTAAAGTTAAATTGTCATTCCGTGGTCCAACGAACAGTTTTTGTCTACAATTACATGTATTATGGCTTCACCAACACCATACATATTGTTTTTCCTCATGTTTCTTCTTCTTTTTCTCCTGCCATTTCTTTAAATGAATTCAATTTATTCATTTTTGAACCAAATGACCCAGAATTTGGTATGGAGGTATAGTGGGCAAATAACACCAGGCGTTTTTTTCACTTTTTTTATACAGGCATTTAGAATTGTTTTATTTTTGGCGATTTTCCGACAAAATGTGTACATTTGTGGCCCTGGAGACCCGGTATTACCCCCAAATGATCTGAAATTTTAGTACGGATCGGCAAATGTCGGCCTTTGTGGTCTTCTAAACTGTATTGTGTCTACGCTTACGTTTTAAAACGTGACTATCCGAAGTCTATTTCGATTAGTTTTGACAGAAGCGAATGTCGAAATCAGACATAAAGTTTCGCCTGTCTACCCATGGCCTTCATCTATATCTTTGATACCAAACTCTGTAAAAATCTATGTTAGTATTTTCTTATGGTCTTATTTATTATATTTAATCATAGGCGTATCTATTATAGTCATTTGTTTTATTTATGTCATTTATATTATCAGTTTCTTGTCGTAATAACGCCACCAATCTGAACACGGATTGTTTAGTTTCATTATTTTGTATGATTAAGTTACTAGATCATGTGTTTTTGTTATTCTGTATCAAAATTTTATTCCTTGTTAATGTATTTACTGTTTCGTTTCGGAGAGACCCATGAAAACCACTTAGGTTTCAGACCTCCACTGTCATATTTGTCCATTTTTTATTATTTGATTATGTATTTCGTTGTATAAGTGCAAATAAATACAAAAATCAAATCAAGTACGGCTCTGTAAACTAGCTACAGCCAATTTGGATCAGTCTGGACAGATGCATGTCGTCTATTGCTCCGAGGACAACCAGCATAACAATTTCCCTACAAGACATTTCTTAACGTCGCGCCCGGGATCACGACCCGCAGACCTAATGGCCACTGACGGCGTCTGTATCCCAGACCCCTCGCCACATCACCCGGGTAATTGAAACAACACCGAACTCGTCATTCCACAGAGCACGCCACTGACCTCCTGAACACCGGAGCTTATGCGTAGCTTTGTGCCAAATACCACGGGGGAATTAAACATAAATTTACATCCTGAAAGATCACCTATCCCCCTTAATGATAGGCAAGAGGATTAAGAGTCTGGGAAATTTAAATCGGATCACCGGCAGAGGTCAGTTTGGATGTATCGGAGAGAGATTCCCGGTGCCGGGGGACCGAACAGTCCGCCTTAGCGTGAGAGAGCGGCGTAGATAAGCACTCCTGGGTACGTTCCATCTTCTGATTCATGCGAATTACCGGCGGCTGGCAGCCGGGGGGGTTAAGAAGGTGAGGACATATTCTCCTGACAAATTGGCGCTAATCAGATTGGAGGATCCCTAAGCGATGCCAAACACTCTGCCTCGCTAGGATTGGGAGTCTGTTGGGGTTTTTCATTACGGAGTGTTCATGGGGGCGACAAAGGGTTAACTGGCACGCTGCTGGGACAAACACATTGTCATTAAAACACCTTGACATTTTTGTCACCCAAAAACCGCTTACTCTTAAAATTGTAGAGACGAAGTTTATGATTTAATATTTCAATCAAGTTGCCTAGCTTTGTATGCATATTGATTGCACACACCACCTCCCCACGTCTTGAATGCCCTTGCCTTCCCGTGACCTCAACACGCAAGTATGTATGATTACAGGCTTAGCGTGTGGAATTTGTAGTCTATGATAATTGGCTCAGGGCAGCTTTCCTGTTCCCCAGTACGTACAGTGGTATGTACGTTATTATGACCATGAAAAATGGAGGTATATACATGTTTTAGTTTGTGTGTGGGTTTGTTTGTGTGTTTCTGCCGGTTGGAAGGTATATGATTGGGTTCAGTTTTTTCCAGAGGAGAAAGTCGTTATTTTGTTTACCGAAGGAAAACACTGTTTTTGCTCAGTTTCCTCTTATCAAAAAACACATAAGGTCAATGACCTGAACCAGACGTCTGTCACCATGGCAACTAGTGTTGGGTTACATCTTGTTGCAATTTTATAGCAGGAGGGATTTAGACTCCTGTCTGACCATATGTATGAATGTGTTTGAGTAAGAATTAACAGAGCAGACCATATGCGAAGGTAAACATTATGCACTTGCTTTGCAAATGCTATCTTTCTAGTTCATTTTTACATCTGGTCAGCATGCGCTCGCTGCACGATATAGAAGGTGATTAACAAGAAAACGACTCAATCAACTGGACATGTTTGAAGTCCAGTCTCTTCTATTTCTGAAAGTATTGCTGTCCTGCGTTCAGGGTTAGAAAGACAAAAGAGGTGGTTCTTTACGGAAAAATGAAACGGGTGGTATATATAATCACATATAATAACATATTGCGCAGACTTAATCAAGAGTACTAGTGACCGAGTCAGACAGGAGTTTCATTACTGAAAACAAAACACTACATAAAGGATGATCATATCGCGACACTTCCCTGTAGCGCCTCTCACTACTTTTACTCACAGGAAACTCTCCGTGTCATGCTGATATGTAATTAGGCCGACTCCGCCAGCCGTGCATAGCTCCAGCCCCCGGGCGTGCGTCCCCGTACTGCCTGCTGATGCATACGTCCCTGCCGCTCTCTCACGCCGACCCGCCGCGCCTATTTCAGACTCCATTTGCCCCGAGATGTTCATGCTAGATCGGTGCCTAATGGAATGCTTAGACGTGAAATGACACCTGCACATATATCTGGACAACAACACACGATCTACCTCCCCAGAGAAGAGCCTTCTCATGAATTTGGGAGCCTACTCGTGAAGATGCAATCTGCTACCACCGTCAAACGAAAAAAAAGCTTCAGATACAGAAACATTTTCACATAGAACAACCTTCCATCAGATCTCCAACATTTAAGAACAAAGGACAGTTTCAAATCAGGACTCATTCAGTATTTCCGTGCAAAAACAATGTAGTTTTGTCGCAGACAAATTCACTTTTTCAATTTGCACAATCGTATAAAAATGATAACATTACACATGATGTATAGCAGTGTAATGTTGTCATTTTTATATGATTGTGTGGTATGTGCAATGTTGTTGTTATGTGTAACTAGTACTGTTGTGTAATCCAGGAAGATTAATTGCTTTTTTTAATTAGCTGTTGATCTTGCAACTAATGAATACCTCAATAAAGTATCAAGTATCAAACGAAAATCAGAAAAACTTCTTGAGAGGGTTTTCAGATGAAAGACGTTTGATAAGATTGATCTACTCCCTTTGAGAATAAGCTATGCGGCGAATGTTGACTATTCACCGTCAGATACTTTTAATGGCCCGTCAAAGATGTTCCAGGGAATAGTTATAATACTTTCAAAGTCTCAATCTTCCAAGGGTACTTTGAACTACAAAGACAAGAGCATGGTTTCAACACTGATACTTAACTGTTCATATGCATTGAACCATTAGTGGACTCAGGAAGATGTCTCTTGGCTCACATGTTTTGACTCTTGCTAATAAGTCTAGTGTGGTGTACTTATAATTATGATTATGTTCGGAATATTAATGATCGAAAGGAATATTGCTTATGAGTTCCGTAACATTCCTTATGTTTGACAGGTAAATATTTTTCACTGCACACATGGATGATTAAAGAAATATTCTAATTGAAATCGGAAGGAAGACTGAAATGAAATCGGTGTCAGCTGGGAGTGATACGGGTGAATGATGATATGATGCATGTTTTATCAAAGCCCTGGAGAAAAGCCGATATCTATGACTATGTATAGATGACTTGTTGTGGATAGATAGTCACGTCAATCGTGCAACCTTCACCAACAACACATGCTTTGTATCCTTTCTCTCTCTCTCTCTCTCTCTCTCTCTCTCTCCCTCCCTCTCTCTCTCAGTCTCTCTGTGTGTGTGTTTGTGTGATGTGTTTGGTATTCAGTGTACATCATGCATCATACATGTACCGTTGACATAGAACTGCGAACTGAGCAATGTTTTACGAATCTTTGGTCATTTTTACAGTTATGAAATTCCAACTTATGTATATGTCGTATGCGCTTTCGAGGAAAGGGACGAACTACGTTTTCACCATTTTTACATTAAAGATATGCGACTGAAGACTCGACTGTATCATATGAACCGTACACTAACAAGGTCATAAATAACCGGCCTCGTTAAACCCACACAATTACTGCAGAGTCGTGCTGGGGAAATAATTACAGAACACCCAGCCACAACATTCATCTTACTCCATAAACTTAGTGATTCACGACCGCAATCTCAAAGTCTTTTAAAACATTTTACCATGATCAGATGCAACGATAATCATTTAATTTTAATGTCGATACGTAAACTGGTCGCACCAAATAACGTCTAAAACAGCAAGTTCAGGTACAGTGACTTGGTCGGACAAAATCTTATGATATCTCAATAGCAAGTTCAATTTTGTGGCCCACTTGGGTGCTCTTGTATTCGCAATGGGAAGAGGGATTTAGTCGTGCCGCTGTAAGAATACAATGTACAAAAATATATTGCATTGCAAGGAGTATGGATCAATGCCAGATCCACAGTAAACACGGCAACGTACAAATTCATACTTTACACAAATTATGACAGAGAAACAATTATGTATCTTATTACCATATCCTCTACTACAGTTTGTCTTCCAAGGTTTTGTTCTAATACTTAATATTTCTCGCTCCTACAACTGCAGCAAGCGTCACAAGATGGCGCTAGACGTTCTTATGTGTGCCGTGGGTACAATTGCATCACCTGTGCAGTCATCTATCAACTACACAAGAGACTCGTAATAACTTCCTAATGCCTGATTCCACTCTCAAGGAGCGTGCGTAGTGTCGCTGGGGGACAATGAAAACATCAGACTTCATCAGCATCTTTGAGCTATCGAGTTTGTCTGCAAACGTGAATATGATAGGCCGTGGCGATCGCCTTCTCTCCTTATGAATTATCAAATACATTATCGTTACTGTGATATGTTCAAGACAGTCAGCACGTCTTGCTATCTGCCAGAATCGGATACAACAACCTTCGCGAAACGTCGACGTGAGTTAACGAATCAGTCCGATCAGCCTACAAGCATGTGGCACCATGTCACCTTCAATATGATTCAGCTGGTTATACGGATCGCCATGATTTTGAACTCTCTACTGTAAGTATATTAACAAAACACGCGGTAAACCAGGTTACACGGGCCTCGTACAGTATCTATCTATCACCCTTCCTGGATTTGTGCCTGTATGGAGATTGAGTGACATTAAAGCTGATTTTAAGTAGAAAGATTGTTTGACTTTGAAAGCAACTTTAATCCTTAGTCATTTATACGTCCAAATGATTCTTGCCCGCATGAAGCAGATGTCTATAACACACGTACAGTGGCTTCTTCCAGACGTTCCCTCGTGGGGAAACGATCATCTTCTTTAAGAACCTGGGTGCCGTGTGTTCATCTCTGGAGTCTTTCTCACCGTGTTTGATAAAGGGTCCTATTAAGCTGAACTGTTACCATCCTTATGGAACACAATCTTGGCGTATTTCTTCATATGCTCCGCTGGGAGCCGACAGACTCCTGCAGCACAACATTCTGGCAGGCTCCTCCGGACTTCATAGCCAGAGCTGAAGCCAGAACAAGAATCAAATTATTTATTTGCCAAATCATGCCCAATGCATTGCATGTACAGCACCAAAGAAGCAAAGTAAAGCAATAGACAACATAAAAATCCCATCAACTTATATATAATGCTACAATGTTTGCTATTATGGGGATGACGTCTTCTTTGAATACAGCTGGATAATGAAGATAGAAGAGCTGGAGATATTCTAGAGGTTACAAGGACATTTTGGCAAATGTTTGAAAATAATCTGTTCTGTCCGTCTCGTAATGAATATACTGTGATTATAAAAGAAAACGTTAACAAGAGAATAAAAGAGGTATGGGAAAAATTGTGATGGATAATGGAAAACGTATCTCTTTGGATAGATTTACCTTCACTTCCGGAAATGAATCTGACGTAGTTGGAGGGGAACAGGCCTATCCTGCCCCTCAGGTAACCCAGGCACCAGCCGCCATCTTCCCCCTCCAGCACCTCGATGACGTCATCTACCTCAAGGGTCAGTTCATTGTCTTCTCGGGGCCGATAACCATATAAGGCCCGGGCATATCTCCTGTCTTATAATAGAGAATACACAATTCATGAAGGTGTATGGGGCTTCATGTACAGTACAAAACAGCGTCAAGTACAATATGAGCATGTCTCCATAATGTAGTTTCAACATTATATCATAACGTTCACCTGAAAGAAAAGTTCTAAATTCTAAAGATGTATCTTGATGTACCTTACAAGGAATTCTCGTTGTATATATTCTATGATCTACATATTACGACCAGTTTCTTGTGGGGTAGGCAAAAATGAGTTCTACATTTTACCACGTTTTACCATGGCAATACGTCTGTACCACCATTTCACCATGGCAATACGTCTGTACCACCATTTTACCATGGCAATACGTCTGTACCACCATTTTACCATGGCAATACGTCGGTACCACCATTTTACCATGGCAATACGTCTGTACCACGCGTATTACCATGTCAGGAAATGCTTGACTGCATACCTTTCTTCCCTAATGATCTCCGTACGGTGTTGATGCCACCATATCTTGATGTCTTCGTTTCAGGTTTGGCTGTAAGAATAACAGTCAGTTAAAAGCTGTAGAAATGTATTTTTGTGCTCAAGGTATCTTAAAATTTTGTCACAAGTAAAGCCCCTGTCACACATCCAGAACCGTCCCCCAACCAAGGTTGGCTAAAGGTCGGGAGCAGTCTGAATTGATTTTGGCCCCCTGTCACACCCCTAACACTGTTGACGTACTCCCGAACACCAGCCAACCACAGACGACCTTGCTCCAGACTTACTCCTAACCATGGCTGAGGGGCGTTCGGCTGGTGTTCGGAATGCCATATTCAGCTATGTGTGACGTCGATGACAGTGGCTTAGGAGACAAACTATGGAATACAAGTAAAAGAGATTATCATACGAAAACGATTTTACAGCAACAATGTATGCTACACCCGTCACCAGGACAAACTTAACAAGGACTATAGATCATCAATTGTTTAAAAAGTCTTTAAAATACGCAAGGGAAGCATTTGGACCCATTATGTTTGTTCGTATTGACTTTCCAAGGCAACTTTATGGTCTTCAGTGGTCATAAACCCCACGCACTTACAAGTCCATAAAGAAAACTAGGTCTTAAAGCATCTTACGACCTACTGCAGTAAGTACCCCTTGTACATTTTATGAAGTCGTCAGATAGAAGATAGCGGTGCTATTTCGCCAGATGACCGAAGTGTCGGGATAAGAGTGTAAATTATAATCCCCACGCAAAGCTCTGCGGATTAGTGCAACAGCTCCAGCAGCTGAGGCGTAAGGTAGATAAGCCGGAGGATTAAGGGTGATTGACGGCCTTGTCTCAATACACGAGCAATCAACGGTCCCCAAATGAACTGTAGAAACGGAGAGTTCGCTATCGAGGCCATCTTTCCCCCTTATTGCTTGGGATAAGACCATTATTTTGTGGACGAGTCGGTTTATAATAGTGCCCATCCACAGTAACTATCCTTACTTTCTGCTGACCAAAAAAATATGTTTTTGAGGTGCATCGATATGTCTGAACTGAGATTAACATCGAGGATGAGTCAAAGCAATTTGGGTGGTGGGATATGACGTCGTATGTCCGAGTTGCTAAGGTAAGATCTAGGGGTCACGGGTTCGATTCCTTGCATTCCTGGCTAGACGCTATGTCCTTGGAAAAGGTTGTGTCCTTGGAGCCCTTTTCTCAACTTTCCTCACTCCACCCAGGTGTAAAATGAGTACCTCACTACGGTTGGGAAAGTAAAAGGCGGTGGAAGGAGAGGAATGGACTCAATCTTCTAATACCGGCCCCTGGACAACCCAATGTCCCTACGGCCTCAATCAGGCTACGGGACCATTACCGTTTTTACCAAAGCATTCTATCACACTTTCCTGCAAAGCAGAGACTTACAGAGGTAGCCATTTACCACGAACTGTAATAGAGTGGAATACCCTGCAAGCTAGGTAATCTAGTTAGCGCAACATCAACTGAACAGTTCAAGGCTGGGGTGGCCAAGTACTATGACCACCCCAGCGCCACTCATTAGCTACGTACATTTAGCCCTGGGTGACTATATTGTACATATCACAGCATCACTTTTTGATGTTTAATGTAGGTACTGCACCGCATTTTGACATATTGTTGTCTCAATTTTTTTTTGTTTTTGCACCACCATAACCAGTCGCACCAGGGCATTGACCCCCTGGACGTTATACCCGAGATGGGCATTGTCCAGTATCACATAGATGTAGATAGATCACAGCCTTGAGTAAACGGTTACTTAAGATATACTGTGCGGATGTACTCGTACCGGGCATTGCAGTGTACGGCGGCGGCTCCTTGTCCTCCTCCACCCCTCCGTCTCCTACACCAGGCTCCCTCCTGCCCATGTTGTAGTAGAAGGCGAACTTTTTCTTCTCCTTCTGCCGCTGGCGCCGCCTGACCAGATAGGCCACCAGGCCCACGCACACCACCAGCCACAGGAGCCCCGCGGTCAGGCCAACAATCACGGCAACTGTGGAGGCGCCAACCCGGTCCCTCAACCCTGTAATATGGATCAACAGACATCTATAATGATATCATGAAAGTTAATCTGTGTTGGTAGTTACATGATTAAAGTTAAAACTTTTGGTCCAACACAAAAAATTCTCTCACCCAGAGCTTTCCACCAGTCACTCTGGTCTTCCTCAGTAGACTGACCCAGTGAAGCTTGTCACGTGGCTTCTTTGAAGTGTGACGTCAACACTGGGTCAAAGGTATCTGGTAGGCAATGTCGGCCCCCGTTGCGGTTCAATGACCCAAAGTTGTTGGACCAAACGTTTTAACTTTAAACAAACATCTATTATATATATGTTCACATGGACACAGTACACAAATACTATCATCGACATACATATAGTTTTTGCTCTGCTTATTATTCTCCAAACACTTAAGATTAATGACCTGGCTTTAAAATTTCACCATGGTAACTGGTGCTGTAGCAAACACCCTGTGGTCGATTAAATTATGTAGCAGGACAGAGTTCGGGGGCTGGTCACCATACACATGTATATCATATGCATGTGTTATTGCAGTTAGAATAAACACAGCAGTAGTTTTCTGAGCTATACTTTGCGAAGATAAACATTTTAAAACGCATTTTCTTTGCATTATCAACTAAATTCAACGACAATTAAGACAATTACCAAAAAGGATACCAAAATAGAAACTAACATCTTTGTAATTTACATTTGCAAGTATGTTATTTGTATTGTTAGCAAATGTACCTAAGAAATGTTGTTTTATAGATGGCAGCTTAAGTGTAAGTATCCTTAAGTCCATTTGAGGTACAATCAGAGATGCCATCAGCTGCTACTTCCTGTACGTAGTGATCAATAAAGACTAAGATTACCTTTAATGGTGAGTGCTGTGGACCGTGTGCTAATGTCCCCGACACCATTGCTGGCCTTACAGAGATACGTCCCCGTGTCGTTAGTCTGGACGTTCTTCAGTTGGATAGCCCCGATGATAACATCACGTGGTACCGTGCCCACGTTACTGCGCATGAGTATTCCGTTCCTGGACCACGTGATGTTAGGAGGAGGGTTGCCGTCTGCCACACACTGCAGAGTGACGCTGTCTGACACCGTGGCCGTCACGGGTTCAGATATGCTGATTATGGAGGCGGGATCTGTGTCAGAAAGTACCAACGTTATTAGATTTAAGTAGAGATAGTAAGTTATTAAGTAGATCGTATACGTAGAAATTCATTCCTTTTACAGTTAGTAGAACTGTTAGATATTCTCAACACCACCATATGTGTATGTTAACACCACAAACTATGTATGTATATTTTGCCATACGTTGTACCCGCTACATCTTTTGCGCAATAAAGTTCTTCTTCTTCTGTTAGCATATAGTTTTGTATCACTGCATTCTGTACTCAATGTTCTTGTCAATGTCTATTTGTCTATTAATAAAGAACTCAATAAAGAAATCATTGAAAACCCCAAATATTAAAAACATTACAGCAATCGTGAATAGTTTCATTTGTATAATATGACTATCGCATGAAAACTCCAGTAAGTATATTGAGTCATATGTATATATTCGAGCTGTTCATTGAAAAGTATATGTATCTTACTTTGACGGTTGCTTTCTTGGAAACAAATAATATGCTAAAAAAACACCCACAGAGAACTTTCATCCTTAAACTTGCACTTGAGCTTCGCACGGTATGACCGGCCACGCAAGCGTAAACGCCTGAGTCGGTCCTGCTGATGTGCCGTATTTCCAGCGCGGGAGAGGCCAGCGTTCCTCCTGAATACTTGGTGCTGTATCTCAGAGAGTCGATGACTTCGCCATCTTTCTCCCAGTGTAGTGACGTAATGTTGGGTCTGGCGTCCTTCACAGCGCATGTCAGGACCCCGGACCTACCCCAGGCCGTGATGTAAGGATCGGACGGTCCCACTTTGACAACAGGGGGTACTGAAAAGTAGAAAACGAATACATTCAGATTTCTTATCGACTCAACAAAACGTACAGAGATTTTGTATGGTCTTCTACAATCAACGATCCAACAAAGCTAAATAAATGTATGAATTGTGTCATCCTATATGTATGCGGCAAACTGCGTACAGAATACAGGCAACAATTAAGGTGTAATTATTCTCTAACATGTAGTCTCTAAGATTTAAACATTCTTTAATACATAAGCATATTTCAAATCCAACATGTTGATTAATTCCTATACTCCTACATAGGTCAATTTATTTGTATCCATTTGTTTGTATGTTAGGTTGTAGAAGACCTTATGAAAGTCATCGTTCTTTTGTTATGTCAATAAAGATTGTTATATCGTTATAAACAGTGCAGAAACGATTTCTGTTGTTAGTTGTTAGTCTATGCTAAGTTACAGCGAATCGTCTAAAGGCAAACTAGAATGTCTCTGTATTAATGGCCATGATTTACAGTTTCGATAACAGAGATAGAGAACTAAGCACATGTAGGGATGTAAGCTTTATCTGATGCAGACTGACAATAACTAGCCAAATTATAGCACAGGAAACTTAAGGAAACTGTATTGAAGGTTCACACAGAACCATTTTTCTACATTATACTTGTTTCAAGTATGTGACATTGAGTCGACAGTTTTTGGCAAAGTGTGATACAACGAAGCCATTTTCAATCAACTAGAACTGATTGTCTTATTCGAAATGGCACCCTATCATTTAGCCTGCCGACGTTCATCAAGATAACAAACGTCACTAGGAATAGCCAGCCTTTCAACTAGTCCGTGCGTCTGAGAGGTGAGACGACCTCCATCGGTCAATACGTCCATCAAGGCGCTGACTGTGACAGGCGATGGGCTATCATAGCGGGAACGACCCGCATGTTTGTCTAGATAATCCGGCACCCATTAGGCGTGAGAGCCCCGAGGGCGGTCAACTTGCAATAGCCATTTCACAGAGTCCATCCCGCTAACACCCCATAGAACAAACGCTTCTGGTTCTCAAGTGTGGATTGAAGGAACGTTGAGAATTCATCTGCATAGAGAAAACTGCCTTGAATGAGCACAAAGTTGGAACCAAATGGGATATTGGACCGTTACTGTGGCCCAAATTGGAAAGGAGCATGTACATGTACATAGCATTACTTTTTGTCTGCAATGATGATAATCATGCGCACCTGTAACATGTGACCTAATTGTATGTATTCAAATAGACTGCTGACTTCCCTTAAATGTTGAAATATGTCATATGAAATTGTTTACGTGTAGTATTCCAAGTAGATTTAGTATTCACGGTTTGAAATAAGTTTCAGGTCAAAAGTTGTTTCAATTCGGTTCTACAAGTTATGGAAGTTATAACTGCAAGTGTAAACAATCATTTCATAGTTAAGGCTGTTGAAAATTATTGTCCCTATTCGTTTAGCAGGTTACACGTGTAAGGAATTAGTGAGTTTTTATAACGCACGACATTACGGAGTGTCTATCTTGTGTGAGTTGTGGGTTTACCGTCCTCAAGTCTACATCCTACCCAGTCGTTCATTAACACTCGCTGATGGAGGTATCTGCAAACTAACTACCATAAATCTGAAATCCCCAGGGTTAGGGGTGCTCTAAATGCAAATGAGCAACTGATGCACTTTTGTCCCATGAGGAGGCTGAACGCGGGCCTTTTAGCAGATGAAGAATGGAGTCCGGCGGTGTGGCAGCAGGAGATCTGCAGCTTGAAGAAAGGCAGTATACGATGGCATTGTCGTCGTCGTGCTGTACAGAAATCTGGGGTTGCGGCAGGGACCCTTTAGTTCTCTGTAGAACAGCGTTTAGGGAAACGTACTAGAGAGACGTTAGGGTACCTTTTTCACCCCGACTTAAATTCCAATCAGGCCACACCAACCGTTGCGCATTTGACGGATCGATGTTTAGATTGGCTACGCCTCATGTGTATCCATGCCGCTCCTCATTACAGGATGCGCCCGGCTAGCCTGTTGCTGCATATACGTGAAACTATTGAAAGTACGTGTCCATCAACCAGATATTGTGCAGGGTAAAACACAAGTAGAGCTATCGACCAAAAACTTGAAGAGGATTCTAGAATACTGTCGGGCAGATTTTGCCACAAGAGCGACGTTATTGGGCCCATCACCATGCCCCTTCGTTTTTCTGACCCTTTATTGAACGTGGGGCATTGTCCTGATTGACCACCCTTACATGGCAGTAGGCCACATAATAATTATTGGGCCACGCCCATGTCATTTCAAAGTATTAGATAATGGTCATCAATGTCACCGGATCTACATACAGCTCCAGCTAGAACTAGATTTATCAACATTCACTACACTATATCTGACGCAAATTTTCTACAAACTTTGCAATGATAAAATGATAAAAGGAACCTAGACCAGCTGCAGACCAGACCGACCAAATTCTCACTGTTTCAGTTTATGTGATGATACATTGTACTTACACAAAAGTCTGTGGCGTCTGTAATGTACATAGTGGTCTGTAATTTGTTCTAGGATGCAACTAGTAAGTTCAAATGTGGAAGTTCCGGCATGGTGCCATTATACTGACATTATGAAACATTACAGTCTACAGATAGCCTTCCCCAGCTGACACCCCCTGATTTTTATCCAAATCATCGCACTGTGGTTGTTGATGCGGCACATATTTTTCGTTGATGTAGTGTTTTTGCCGTTTGGGAGATCAGTTACGTTCTGGATGAAGGCACCATTAAAGCCCCTGTCACACATAGCCGAACTCCCCCCAACTATGGTTAGGAGTAGGTCGGGAGCAAGGTCAACTGGATCGGCTGATGTTTGGTTACGTCAGCTACTGTTCGGTTGCCGAGTGTTTTAAAATGTAAAAACATTCGGGTGTTGTCGAGAGGATCGGCAACAGTTGTCTGGTGGTTGGCTGGTGTTCGAAAGTAGGTCGGGGCGGAGTTGGCAGTCAATTATTTCTAAATTTAACACCAATTCGATTCGTAACGAAAAGTATAGGCTTGGCTTAAATCCTGTCAGACTATTCCCTAACTTCGGCCAACCTTGGTTGCTCGGCTGGTGTTCGTGGGAAGGTTGTGACAGGCACCATTAACCCGTCAGCGGCCCGACCGGCGGAGATGGAGGTGGATTACCGAGGCAGTGGTGTTGAAAGCCGCCCCGCCCCCGGCAGCTGAGGCCCGCCTGGCGCAGCTGGACTTGACGTCCAACTAAATCCGATCAAACCTGTTTACGTCCGGTCGGAGGAACAGACTTATGAGCTGTCCATATCGATTAGTCCGAAAACCGTTGGCAAAACGCCGATGAGCGATCGATTTTCAATCATAATCATCATGCTTTCTTGCAAGATTTTTTATGACATACGAGGCACATTAGTTCACTCACACACGCATATAATGAATTCGCCTGGGATATCATTAACGTACACGCTGCTATGCGTTCTGAACCTACCAGAAAGAAAGACCAGTTTCTAAGACAGATTGCCAGTGTTTTCTGCACCGCTGAACCTTAAAACCCAAGGTCACTTCAAGAGTGTGCCAGATCCATTCAGAATACGGGAACGTTTGGATCAGCATTACATTTGCGTGCAAAGACTTCATCACCGTTGTCACCATGTTATTGAAAAGATGATAGGAAACTTTTAAAAGTGACACACGGTCGCTTTTAGTTTCTTCAATTTTCGGAAGCAATCGCCCATCGCAGTAAACGGGTCGCCCGGGGCTTAACCCCCGACCTTAATATCCATAACTTTCCCTTTTATTACTCCTGTTTGCCGAAGCCTTAATGGATTTTATTGCACCGCTGATGGCTCTATCGTCATCATAAAATCGACGCTAATGTTGTTTTCCTTTAGAGTCTAACCCGTGGAGCATAGATTATAACGGACGTACACGTAATTGAACATCATTAGACATTCAGCTGACTCGCAATAATCAGCAGTACGTCTTTCTCAATGACTTGCTTTGCAAGCAACATTGGGCGTCAAGGGGACCAAAAGAACGTCATATTGATTGTGAAAGATCATATCATCTTTTAGAAAGCGGCGGAATCGCATTTATTGCCGAGATAAGTGTTTTGTTGCTGTGTAAGCGCTCCGAGTGAAGAAAAATGAGCCGTTTTCGCTGGGCAATGGGGTATCAGTGTGTTTTATCTCTATAGACTCAGTGGGCATTCAGTCGTGGTTTTCTATCATTTAGTTAGTTCTATAGGGTCTTCAATTCAGCGAATGTAGATAGGTCCAGTCAAGGAGGTTTAAAATCGAATCTCCTTGCTTCAGTCCTGGCTTGAATACATCTCTTTTAACCTGCTAAAGAAAACGTTTATTCTGGTACATGGGCAGTGTCCACATGTCATCTCATTGGCATAACGGTTTTCCCCGCGTCTCAAGCGCCCTCTAGCTGTAGCTGCGTTATTGCAGCTCCTTTATTGCATGGTCACTTGGGCCGAGTAAGGCAAACACGCCTGGAAAGATACGATTTGTGAAAACTTCATTCGTCATATATATGCTGACCTTTCCCCGCGGTTCTAAGTGTATCAGATCCAGTGTGTAATTCTTATTTGTTTCAGCAGACCGTCCGCTCAGAAATAACTTCACTGTCAGCACGACCGGGCGAACAGCAGCATCCATCATCACAAATCGATCACTCCGTGACTAAACAGTTCTCCGCACCACATATATAAGCCAGACCGGCCCAAACACTCATTCAGCACGGCTACAACACAGACCGGAAAAGACCATGCCCGTAGCCAGGGAGTGTTCGAGGGGGGGGGGACGTAAGAACCCCCCACAAGGCTCAAAGGTCCACTTTTTAGGTCCACAAGTTATCTCTGATTTTCCTTTGAAATCCTCACATATATAAAGGCAGGAAATGTCATTTCAGAAGGTTCAATTTTCAAAATTCCCTCGGGAGCATTCATCCGAACCCCTCTAGGAGTCTCGCGCTTCATGGTCCGTCAGACAGTGGGAGGACCCCCCCCCACTCAAAATCCTGGCTACTGTGGCTACTGTTATGTTTCAAACATTCGGGTGTTGACGGGAGGTTCGGCCATGGTTGGCTTGTGTTCCAAAATACGTGTCGGTTGGGACGTGTTTGGTAGTGAAATTTGACACAAATTTAACTCAAATTCGACTCTAATGGTACAGAAAGGCAGGCGTGGCCTGAATCTGACCAGAATGCTCCCGAAGTTCGGCCAACATCGGTCGGCTGGTGTTCCGGGAGAGGTTCTAAATGTGTGACAGGGGCTTTGGACATGAGTAGTGATTGCGAAATCGGACGTTTCTTGATGTATCTGTAAACTTCCCACATCCGTCAGGAGCCCTTGAAGCTTCGAAGAGGATTAGGTCTTTTCCTCAGCTGGAGCAGCCCGGTTAAAGGATTTGTTTTTGAGGCTTGCTGCTGTCAGCAGCTGCGGGCACCAGTCAGAGAGCGATGGGACTGCACTGGCGCAGAGAGAGAGAGAGTCCCCAGTATTATGTTTACCGAAGGAAAACGTGTTGTGCTTGATCTGTTTCCTAGCTTCTTCATCTCCAAACAAATAAGGTCCATGACCTGAACCAGACGTCTATCACCATGGTAACTAGTGGTAACTGTTGGGTTACATAATGTTGCAATTTTATAGCAGGAGGGATTTATACTCCTGTCTGACTACATATATGAATGTGTTTGAGTAAGAAATAACAGAGCAGACCATATGTCAAAGTAAACATTATGCATTTGCTTTGCAAATGTTACCTTTCTAGTTGTTTTATTCCTGTCCTTCATAATCACGGCTGTTGTTTCCTCCATGTTTGAAACGACAAAGTGCCAATAGCTGTAGAAACTAACGCGATGGTGGATGTCCCTTTACAGCAAATGTAATTACCGGGCATTGCCTCTTTCCGGGGGGCAATGTACATCGGCTCTGGCATTAAACTTTAATGGTAACCACCCGGAAACGACGGTTATACGGAAACCTCTACTCAATAATCAACGCTAAACCCCCTCTCATACTAACGTACCCTTGAACTGCTGACCTCACTGGAAAAATATGTCTTACATCAGTTCCTAACTCATTCCATGTTGTAATGATCTGTTACGAGAGGTTGGGATGAAAAGGCCGTATAGAAATTGGCTCATCGTAGGATCATCTTTACTCCATAATGTAGTCGTCTCAATGTCGTATGGGTCAACCGAGGAATCCGATGTATTTTCATGTTTGAGTTGCCGGATATTTGTGAGCCTGTCACAGTTGCTTAAGGTTCTATAAACTGTTAGTTGCATTCCGAACTTGCCTTCTATGGGAAACAAGACTAGGCTATAAGCAAGAAGTGGATCTCTGGCAATGAATACAAATTTGTAACAATATACTTCTCGGGATGTTGTATGCCATATCGTATAATTTAAAAGACTACTAACAAGAGAGAATTGGTGTAAGAGTTGCAACGAAAGCATTGATAAATTTTCTGTTTGTCTCCCTTGCTACCTATTTGAATGAGTAAAGAGACTCTTTTTACACTAAGACGACGTTTTGGTGACCGTCTGTCACCTTTTTCAGGGTAATTCTGACTGGCTCACATTGCACTGCAGCACATGTGTCGCCGCTATAGATGTATTTTACAATATTTGCAATATTTACATATCTACACATATACATATATAAGAGTCTCTTTATTCAGTGACTTACCTACCTGATGAAACTATTCACATACCTATTTGAATGTTCCTCATAGACCTCTGTACAAATATGTCTCTTCCATATATAAACCTGTAGTCATCACCCTTCCGGTGAATCAGAAGGTCATGATAATTGTATTTCCCTCCCGAGTGATATAACCTGACTGATATCCTCCCTCTCCGCTCTGGTATGATTACAATCAGGTGTCTCGAGGGAAAAGCCCGCTGGGCTGCCTCCACGCACCAGTAACCTATATAGCTACAACTTCTCTCAAACTTCCGGAATGACTGTAGTGTTGGAATATAACAAGTCCTTTGAGAAGATCTCGAAGATTGATGATGGAAAGTTCGTTGCCCGGAGGCTACTTGCAAGTACATGTAACATGAGAATAAAAAAGAAACTATGAATAACAATATAACATGCACCTACTCTAGCCTAAACTTGGACATTCTAACTTATTGGGTTCTTCTTCTTCTTCCAAGACATCATTGGGTTCTTCTTCCAAGACAGTGGAAGAGGAATGATTCCCTTTTTTCTATAATGTCCATGTTTTATGTTAAGAGGAGAGTACTTTTTGTATGTAAGTTGTGGCGTGGAGAAATTAGGATAAAATTTATTTAACAGACAGGTCCTTTCGTTCGTGATCGCAGAAGGGGCAGTTGTGTCAGCATAAGATGGCAAAATGAAGATAAAAGATAGAATAAAGATGATAGAAAAAGGTGATAGAATAAAGAGTGGATCATGATAACCCTTGATGACGTGAATGACGTCCTGGAGATAATGACCAATTTCAAACATGGCGGACACTTACCCATGATGGACAGCGTGACGAAGCCGTCGGCGACCCCTGACCCTTCAACCATGACCAGGAGCACGTATGTCCCGTCATCCTCCAGTCTGGTCCGTTTGATTCTCAAGGACGCCTTCCCGACAAGCTCCACTCTGCCGGCGTAAGCGCTCTCCACGTCTCCCCGTCCGGAGATGGGATAGTAGGAGTAGATCAGCGTCCTCTTTGCCCTGTCCTGGCGGTCAAGTTTGAACCACGCTACCGATATGACCTGGTTCTTTGTGGTGTAAGTCGCGGGGAGAGTGACCGGATCTCCAATCACGGCCTTGACCGAGTCCGGTATGGTCAGCCCGATATCGTTTTGTCCCGCGGCCCCTGCAAACAAGAACACAAATTTGTCATTCGGACAATGCAAATCCAATTTCTGGTCACAAAAGAGCGAAGGCCGTTAGACAAAATCGACTTAAATTGTAGACAATTTTATGGGGATTGAGGCAGCAGGCGTCAAACTGCCTACATCTGGCCCTGACATGGTTAATATTTCATCGTGATTATACGTGCAGTTCCCCCGGCGCGTGTTTACCCTTGGAGGGTATGAATATGCAGCACAGTTCGGCTGCCGTAGCGCGATAAATCCGTCCTATCGTACAACACACAGGCCGGGGAATACACATATCTTCTGCCGGGAGACTCCGGCAAACAGATGAAGCCGTCAGGCGTTATCTGTCAGGTTAGGGAGATTCTTAATTCTGCGTATAGCTTCCACTTTGCGGGGAAATTACCCTCTCTTAAAACCTGCTAATGCATACAAATCAGAGGCATGTGGCAGGTGTACAGAGTTCTTTATTCATGCAGGGCGCGCTTATATCGCAATTATGACTCTGGGTCTCTTTGTGTCTTCGTGTGTGTGTGTGTGTGTGTGTGTGTGTGTCTATGTATGTGTGTGCGTGTGTGTGTATGTGTGTGTGTGTGTGTGTGTGTGTGCGTGTGACTGTGTGTGTGTATGTGTGTGTTTGTATGCATGCACGTGTGTGTTCATATGTGTACGTCTGTATGTGTGTGTGTCTTATGGAGCACACAGATACCATTTTCCCCATATCTCTCTATAATATCAGTGAGGGGCACATATGATTCTTGTTTGTTTGTTTCGCATAACCGGTAAACTGTGCATTCTAATCATTCTAACAGAATCAAATTAGCCATAGAAAGTTGTGTCGACTGTTTAAAACTCCCCAAGTTTGCGTCTTCCATACCATATTTAAAAACGTTATTTTAACCATCTCCCTTGCCATAAATATCGACGTACAAATCAGCTTAATAGGGAACTGTTGCACGATGTAAAATGACAATAACATTTATCACCCACTGACGTTAATACTTCCAGGTTTTCTCATGAAAATTAATGAGCAATTACAACAACCGTAAATCAATATTTTTTGTTGTTTGCAAGTCATCATTAAGTTTAGTGGAGGTAATAAACACAGGAGAGAACGTACATACTGGAGGCTATAATTTTTACAAAACTGTTAGCAAATGTCGGGCTTTAACGCTAGGGCTATTTACATCGAACTGCGAAATTTCATTCTTATAGCCTTGTAGTAAAAACTGTGCCGTAAGGGGGCTGGGAATTTTTCATCATGATCAGCACGTTTGGGCCATAAACGAACGCCTAGCTAGCAATTTGACTTCAAAGAACACTACCCACTCATGAAGGTAATGTACACGGAGAGTTTAAAGGGGGAAACGCAGTGATGCGGAAAGAAAAAGTGGGCAGAAATTAGTGCTCTTTGTAGCGTTATCTTACAGATGTCGACTAATAGTCCTCTTGGGAGATGGATAATGATGACTTGACGACCCGGGGGGAGATTGCAGTAAAGCGGTACGCTGTTTGTGATAGCCCGGTTAACCGGACTAAGCCGCTCCGCTACGACAGCTGGCTATGCTATCGATTTTGCCTTTCCCACCCTGATCTTACCAAAGCTGTTCTGTTCTGGCGTTTCAAGGTTTTCCTCTTTTTTATTTTCTGTTGAATGTGCAGACAAGTCAGAGAATGGCGCCAGGATCCTGCTGCTAGACCACTTTAAGGATGAAACTGGAAGACTGCGTTATGTCAGAATCGTCCTGTGGGACCATCAGAGGAAATTTACTGTCTGATTTGAGCAAACTTTCTTTGTGAGCTGTGCGTTTATTTTGTTATGCCAAACAGACGCGCATGAGTCTCTCTCAGTCATGTCTATTACACCGCACCTCATTCCATCGATCTGACGGTAATTTGGTTCCACTCGTTCATCTAACAAATGAAAACCGTGGGACTTCGCCCCCTCTTCTTTTCTCTATATACCACCTTATGTATTATATTTTTAGAGGATTGGGCAAAAAGTATACGTTACTTGCCGAGGTCATCTCATCTACACATACACAAAAACAAGGTGCCAATAATAAATGAAGTATACAAAGACGTACAGAATGTGTTGGTGTACAAATCACAGCTAATCCGAAGTATATAACGATCTGTCTGCAACGTAAAGTTCAAAACATCAAATATTTTACAGTTGTTGACAAACGATAATGAAGGGTTGCCTCTGAGAATATTTAAGCATATATTAAGGTGTTGTCATTGATGTTATTTATGTCAAACGGAGCGATATTGTACAAGGATGATAACGAGATGTTCCATCTTGAGGCACGCATTGGCACCACAGTTTTCCCATCCGCATTAAGAAGGGATTTTTCCTCTCGGTTTGATTGACGTATCTAAGGAGGTAAAGCTCTGTCTGGTTGTTTTCGGGAGACCCAATTAAGGCTCGGCTCGGCGGAAATGAGCGGTTGCCCGCGTCCCTGGGTTGAAGCGTCCTCCCTAATGTGCGCTCGTAAAAAGGGACGACATCCGCAGGTCGTCGGCGCAGCGTCTTGACAAATAGGACTTAATCAAAGTACATAATCCCGAGGCTGTTTTCCCCCCAACATGATAACTACGTTACAGACGCGAGCCTCATAAAAGACGGGCGTGACGTCGACGGCAGCCATGCCGCGGAGGGACGACATCAAGGGCGGTATTGATGAGTCCGTCAGACATCCGCCATGATGATTTGCTTCAGGACTCGAAATTCATTTTTGGGAATAGGTGGACTGGTGCACTAAAAAATTAGGTGCACAAAAAACTTTTTGGGTGCACCATATAAAACAAAACCTAGTTACAGATCTTACTGCTGCTTTTCTTAAAAGCTTGAATCTGAAATGGGAACTAACTTCAAAATCTTAAGAAAGTACTACAACAAAGGTTTTATTATTTTATCTGACACTTAGATGCCAAGAATGTCCTGTATACAATTATACATTTGATATGTACAAAAATACCTAGAAAAATTTTGGGTGCACTGGTGCAACCGCAGAAAAAAATGGGTGCACAGCTCTAATTTCGGGTGCACTAAGGTGCACATGCACCCAGTATTTCCAGCCCTGTGGTTTGAAGCTCAATAAATAATGAGCAGGAGAAGGCGGTTACGGAAACGCTGCTGACTTCATTAGAAGAAGTCTCAGGTGATTTGTTTGAACCATCAACCCGTGTCGGGCACGTCCTCGCATTGCCGTTCATCATCAACTGTATTACTATAAACGCTCACGATAAATGGAATGGGAGTCAATGTAGTGGAATCCGGAGGAAATACTACTAATACGCTGTGTAATCCACATGTATAGTCTCTTATTTCTTTTAGTGTTGGAAAGTTATTATAGCCTGCACCATTCGTGACCTTTGTTATGAATTCGACGTTCCTTTTTTCATGGGAAGCATTTTTCGACGACAGATCTATAAATCACTTGCAGGCCAGATGTAGGCCTTGAGCTATTCAGGAAATAGTTTTGGAATATTTCATGTATAAATATGACACTGAAAATAGTACAAATATGATTTTTTGGACACGGATAGGAATCATTTTACGCTTCCATTTCATCCTGGTTAATTTGAAAGGATGATTTGAAGCCGTCTGTCCTTACAACTAATGAGAAAATGGGGTGGGGGGATCCTGACATTTTATTGAATTTTTGTCACTTGATTCTCTTTTAGATATTCTAAGCAAATAATAATTTACATTTAAATAAAAGAACCTTCGTGTCAATATCCAGGTGGCCGCTCCCATCCCGTCATTTGTTTGGATGTAGTAATTTGGAAGCAATAAACTGAAACATGTTCCGGGAATAGATGTGACGTGAATCGGAAACGGCATTAGCGTTACAAGCTATCGCATAATGAAATAGATTAAGGTCCTAATACGCAAATCCGGGCACGATAGCGTGGCACTTTATGAAAATAATCATAGAAGGTCAACATATTCATGTATGGAAAACATTTTACAGGAATTCAGATGGGACAACGTCTGAAAAAATCGATAGGCAATAGATAGAAAAGCAATAAGCCACACCCTAAACACGAATGAGAGGGACGACTTACATAGAAATCTAACTTTCTATCTTATTGAATCCGTGAATATGGGATAAGACGCGTAGAGGAAATAAGTAAGAAGGACAGAAACATTGTTTAACTGCACAATCGCAAAATATCTTTGTTGTTATCGATGTCTGTATCAGTATCTATATTTTCTCTTTGGCGTCATACGCCAGCCTAAATGGGTTACAAGTAGAGATTGTCTGTTCCTAGCTCTAGTTTTTTCTATATCAGTAGACAAAAGAGTCTTGGCAATATGTCAGAAATAGTCTTCCTTTGTTCAGGCCGTTTTATGCGGCGGCGTGATTTTATCAAAGTTTAAAAAGTGCATAGCGTGCTGACTAAACTGATAAAAAAACTTCGGTATCGCTGCAGCGGCAAGAAAAATCCATACGTCATGCTTCAAAGCTAGTTTTGAAAACATCTGTAACGTAAACGATTTTCCTTTTATCTCTTTAACAGTAAACAGTCTTGACAGCGCTTTATACCCTCTCTATATCCCGTAATAGATCAAGTAAACTCTCGGGGAAAAGTTATGATAGTGGTACCCTGGGGCAGTCTCTGGGCACAGGCACGAAACCACGATACCATCTCCCCATTGTGCGAACGCCGATGAAATATTCGGTGCGAAAGAGGTGCTTGGCAGCTGACTTGACACAACTATTCCTCACCATACCTTGAAAGACAGGCCCCGTTGCATATTTTGACGTCTATCTCCGAAAAATCACCCTGTCGATCATTTTCTGGATAGATGAAAAATGCGATAAGTGTAATGGAATACCGCTGGGAAAAACGGCGTACCCGGGGATGGGTACTGAACGGATATCAGATGAAGACATCAGGTGACGAGTAAGCACTGCCTTCTGCTGTAGCTTTGCTAAAAGCACCCCATGGGGCGCTGTGGAATGGAGTTTGTGTGCGGACTTCTCAACTCGACTGGAACCTTAATGTACAGGCGATGGGGACATCACACGTGATTCATGCTCGCGGATGGGAAACTTCAGCTAAAAGATATACATCTCTCTCTAAATCTACATCCAGCAAGCTTTGGGGATTCTGAAAGTTCTAGTATCTATGTATAAATTCCCATATATCATACAGACGGAATATGAAAGAACATTATACTTGGGAGTTGACTAGAATTGATATCTGTACGTTGGGGCAGTGGTGCCGAGAGGTGAGCTGCCATCGCTCATACTTAGCACTGTAAATACCGGTGTAAATGCACCCTGTGTGCCGTAACGATCAGTCAGAGCCTACCCCCGCCGCGGTCCCGGCAAACTGGATTCCCGCCGTAAATACTGATGCATCCTCCTCCCGGCGAAGATCCCAGATTCTCATTTCGCCTAAGTGCGGGCAGGATTTAGAATTAAGCAGAGCGTGACCGCCCAGTGTACCCAAATTTCCCCTCGTTATTTTACGCCATTCCGTCGCTGGAACCGAGTTAGAAGCGGGGCCATGATGAGCAATTTGAAATCAGACACACATTCATAACTGTGAAGATGAGATCAGGCTCTGAGCGTAGTTATCATCGGCGAGGTCGCCTGGAGACGTTCAATAGAGGTCCCGTTAGTTAAAAATCTGGTTGACATTAGGCTGACCCCTGGGTCGGGGAAATATCGGATTATGTTAATCAGTCTATCCATTATGCCTCTCAGAGGAGACATTTCTTCTAGGAGGGAAACATATACCATATTGCGTATTGGAGATTATATTGGATTTAGTTCGGGCCTGGGAAGTCTCAGGATGCGTCTTGGGGATAATGTGACACAAAAATCTATACGTTTCCTTAAAAAGTGTAATGGAAAGGGTGATAACTATCTGCATGATGTCGGAATCGAATCAAATATTTTCACAGTAGGATGAAGTCATTATTTCCGAACAAGAGCAAGTCCGAGAGAATACTGATAAAGGACTCCCCATAGGGACAAGGTACGTCAGACAGAGAGAAATAGTACGAAAGTAGAATGCTACGTGAATCATCCAACGTTCGTATTGTTTTCAACTACTACGTTATGTAAACCATGCATTTGATATTCAATTTTTTTTGTCACGAAATCGCAGTTTGGATTCATGCAATTAATCCAATTATTTTCCTACATTTGAGTAGTGGAGCAGAATGTACGAAACACACGGAACGTTTGGCCTTTACATATTCTATAGCACGTTCTTGGGACAAGTACGGCATGCGTTAGGGTTTGGTCACATTCGTCGTGCCTTAGGGTTTACCACAGCAAACTGAGGGCGTTCTTTCAATAGTTTGGATATGCCGTACATGATTCTACAGCCCCGTAACGTTAGATCCCTGTTGACGATTGGTTCTGTCATAGACTCGCTGAAAATTCTACACACACAAAAGAAACGCACTGTCGACTATTGAGAATTTAACCGTACCTTATCTGGTCTCCACAAAATTCTCTACTAGAATTCTAGATTCTAAAGTCAGTACTTGATCAGACTGCACAAACCAGGGTTAAAAGGTGAAACAAAGAGAGGTCGCACGATGTTTTGGTGTCTTCTTGGCTTACGTGAAAAGGTCGTGCAATTCACGCTGAAACAGGCGGATCAGCATAGCGTTAAATGAGAAGTTCTTACCTCGCCACCCCAGGGCCAGTCCGAACGCGAGGAGCAGCCGAAAATCCATTCTAAGTTAATGAGAACACCCGGAACCGTCGGCTGCGGTAAAGTAGAAGGATTACTGACCAACTGTTGGTCCGTCTACTGATATCGGTTCACCGGTGTTCCTTCGATCCCGTCTCCGTCCTTGGTGCTGAATGGCCTTCCGTTTAACTACCAAACTACATCGCGCTCGCTCTTGTGTTACAAAAGCTAATTTCTGGCGGTTTTCTGTCCGACGATTTCTTCCGCAAACACGCGCCCGAGAAAATAGATAATATCGTTTTTCACATGAGTGAAGCCCCCGATGTCCAGCTGTGCTCGTTCCGGTAGTTGGTCCGTGTCCAGTGCAGGTTGTGTTAGCGAATCCCCCGCACGTAGATGTGTTCCGCTGAGCACCCGCGGATGAAAGTGGCTGGTAGTGGCGCTAAAGTTGCTCAGTGGCCCATGAGTGGGGATTGCGCGCTAGAGACGGCCGCTCCCGGTCTTCCATCACCGTGTGTTGGTAAGTGACAGACGCTATCCAAGCGTGAAGCTCGGGGTATCCAGAAGAGACGACCGTCCGACTGCAAACACGCAACCGCTAACACCGCCTACAAAAACTTAATGCTTCCTGCACAGAACCGCACAGAAGTTAAATCCCTCTAGAAGGGCGGCAGCTTCAGTATTCAGCCGAAAGAAAACACTCGACTGGTCAGCGTGCGGCGTGGTTCTCGGCATATGAGAGAGTTTTTCTGGCAGCTACGTCGGGAGTCCTGCGCGGCGGGTACCGCTGGGTGGGTGCGTCGGGAGCGGCGCTGCTCAGTGTCGGGCGCCGATCCGCACCGGGAGCCTGGCGAGCCGGATCCGCATCACTGCCGCTGAGTCGGGAGGATGGGCATGGGGGTTTTCGAGTCACCCGTGTGCTCGTAAGTCCCGAAGCTGTTACTCCTCCTCAAGCTGCCACATGCACAGTTTCAAATTTGTAACAATTATATGGGTGGAGAATCCCGGCAGATATCTGCTGCATGTTAAAAAACTATCTCTGACGTGGCATTATTGAGGATTACATCAAGATTTCTGCATGAAGAATTCTTAATGCATGTTTGTAAATGTAGGTTTGGCAAATGTTGCGGAAATATACCGATCATTATGTCTGACTGACAGTGCAGGGGTTACGACTCATCAAATCTGCCACAAAACCGAATCCTGCGGTGAAAAGTCGGCTTTGTTTTCCTGGGAGTTTATTAGACAGTAATACACGCCGTGACACCCTGGTAATCTCTTCACTACCCAAGGTGTCGAACAACAAGGAACCTGATATTAGGTACTACAAATCTCTCCCGGCCTAGGGAGTAGGCACTGAGCATTCTAAATCTTTTCTGTAATTTTTGTCTATTCTAAGGAACTTCATATTAGGCTTTACAAATCTCTCCCGGCATAAGGAATAATAGGCACTGAGGGTTTCAAATCTGTTCTGTAATATTTTTCTATTTTAAGGTACTTTGTATTAGGTTTGTACAAATCTCTCGCAGCCTAAATGATAATAGGCACTGAGCGTTCCAAATTTATTCTGTATTTTTTGTCTACTCTGTAAATTTATTTATTTCTTTGCCAGATCAACTTCATATTAGGATGCACAAATCTCTTAGCCCAAGGAACAGGTAACAGGCTCTGAATTTATCTTTTAATTTTTATTCTCTCCAAGAAACTTGATAGTAGGTAGTATAAATCTACCAGTCCACGGTGCTTACACTGAGCTTTCCAAATCTATTCTGTAATTTTGTCTATTCTAAGGAATTCGAACTTGATATTAGGTACTACATATCTCTCCCAGCCTAAGAAGTGGACACAGAGCATTCCAAATTTATTCTGTAATTTTTGGAGGAACTTAAAATAAGATGGTACATGTACAATTCTACCAGCCCAGGGTGCTTACACCAAATCTATTCTGTAATTTTGTCAACTCTAAAGAACTTGATATTAGGTCCTACAAATCTCTCCCAGCCTAAGGAGTAGACACAGAGTATTCCAAATTTATTCTGTAATTTGGGAGGAACTTAGAATTAGGTAGTACAAATCTACCAACTTAAGGTGCTTACAAATCTTTTCTGTAATTTTTGTGTCTGAGGAATAATATAATATAATAGAAAGTTTTTTGCAAATTCATGCCCAAGGGCTAATTACAAGAACATGATAACAAAATAAACAGTAAAAATGATAATAAGTAATGCTAATGCTACTTTGGATATAGTTATTGTTGGGTTTGATTTCTTTTCTGTGTGCAGTGGAGTATGAAATGGCCGACACATTGCGAGATGTATGAATTGGGGGCTGTTAATAGAAATTCAGTTTTTTATAGGTTGGGAATGTGAATAAAGCTAGGGAACATTTTGGTGACCATTTGATGTAACTTATCTCTTTCGACTATAATGAGAGCAATGACAAATAAAGTGCATTTCATCCTCCACTGCGTTTTCTGTACAATATTTACATATTCTGTCGTTAATGACATAAGGCCACAACAAGTAAATTTTATGGATGACATCCTCTGATTCCAAATCTAATGCGAGCGGGTGAAAAGAAAAACAAGGCTGGCCGAAAAAAACAAGGTTCCTACAATTCAAAATTTTGACTCAATCATTGTACAAATGGTTTTGCTTCAGTAGGAACATCATATATACACAGCCACCATCACATATCACTGCATCAAAGTAAGAAACAAACATTAAATCAGAGCCTTTTCTTGTCTCCTCTCTTCATAGTTATCTGCCATCCACGTTCCGGCATGACAACAGACATCTTTGCCCATTTTCGGCATGTTGACCACTGTCAGAAGGCAACAAAATTTCTTTTTTCCCCCCAAATCAGGCGAAAATTAATGAGCGCGCTGATGTCATCCATAAAAATTACTTACTGTGGCCTTAGTACAAAACTGTGATGTATGGCAGGAAGAAGGAATGCCCCGGTGAGGGTATGTTTATCCAGTCTGAACCACCGGTATGGTTGGGAGGCAGACGGGAATCCAGTCGCCCGAGGCTCAGCTTTCCGCAGACACGGGAAGAAAAATGAAGTTTACTCATACAAAATCATTAATATGTCCCGTGAGGAAAGTAGGAAAAACGTGCTTCGTTTTAAGAGGCACTATGTAACATTTTTTGCACCAAAAGTTGTAATATTTGTGTGATTGTAAATAACGTTCAATTGTCAACATATTTGAGCAATTATTTCTCACATTTATGGTTGGCCATTAAACAGCCCACACGAGGCGAACTCAAAATTTTTGGCACCACTGCCAGAATGTAAAAAAATAGCTGACAATTGTGTTCCAGGTTTTACAGACACAGTGGTAAGACATCATATTTTGGCCCCTCCACTGATTTGCAATTGATGCAAGTTGATTAAACTTTTGTATGGTCCTATTGTTACACAATCCACATGTATACGCAGCTTTAATTATTCATGACCTAAATTAACTAAGAATAGATATCGATAAAACGGTCAATTTTGCCTCAAACATTTGCAGCAGAGCTGATATACAAAAAGAGATGAAAGTTCATACGGCGAGACTGATGAAACGTAACTGGTAAAACCTCGGGAGCAGAGTTCGTTAAATGTCGGATTCCACTTAAGGGTCATCAGAACTAAGCAATGTGGCATTGATTGGACCACGTGAAGTTCAGCTCGGCAAATGTAACCCATCAGAGGTTACCGCCAGGCACATCCCTCTCCTACCCATCACCTGTTTGATAGAAAATCGATTCAATCATAGTAGGACGTCGGTTTGCACTAACTCCATCATTGGCGAGTAACGTCACTGGAAATGGAAAGGTCCCGACCTTTTTTCTCAACCAACGCGGAAATCCAAATTCATTTTCTATGAAACCAAATTCCCAGGAACCGGAGGTCTGAGGAAAAATGTCCCTGTCAATGTTTATAGGGAGAAATGTGACAGATTTGTAGCTTTTCTGGTAAAGGATGGTGTGTAAATGTGGATGTTTGGGTACTACGTACGTTCATGTCAAGTGTAACACGTAATTTCTGCCAGAAAGATTGGCCTGTAGCCATTTCCACAAATAGCTAGAGACATCCATCCTTTTTCAGCAATTGGGGAGCGTACTGTAGCTTAAACCGCTTGGATAACAGGCTACCCCGTCCCGTCCTATCAGATGTTACAAAGAGTAAGAACGTTGAGTTACAGACTAGACGTTATACATGCCCTAACGCCGAACTCGGAAGATTTGGATCCAGTTAAGTCATAACGCTGTTGTTTATTACACATAACACCCCTGACTTACCGAACTGGCACAGCTCACGTACTTAGTGCCAAGTCTCCGTGTTCCTCATTATTGTGACTTCGCTTCACAGCAGTCAGCAGCTCTTGGAAAAGACTCTCCTCCGAGAATTGATGGCGTTACGATGTTTGCAGCAGTTCTAACGAGGCCCTCGAAAACGTTTCGTGTGAGTGGGTCTAACAGGCGCTGATGTCTGGGGTAAATTGCCCATTTACACCCTCATTATTACCGCGCACTCAGCCCAGCAGCCTCATCTGTCATCGTTATACCGCCCTGTTGGTTAGGTCATCTCGGAGAACCCCTCGGAGCTACTGCCATTAACGGCTACATTTGAAAGATAAACGAGTATGGTGGTCTAAAATGTCAAAGGCGTTTGAGCATTTTACCTACGTGAGGCTTTCCTTGTCATTCTGAAAACTACAACTGCTGTACAACCAAGGACATCATGCAGAATTCTGTATCTTGTCCTTGGTACAACCTTACAGAGCTTTCGAAAACTACTTTAGAGTTTGAGTTTAGATAGTAATTTTTAAATGTTATCACACTGTTAATTGAAAGAATTTCAATGGTACCCTTTCTTGAATGGGTATGCCATGGTCAAACTGAATTTGTGGATAAATTTTTTTGGATTTGCATGTAGAACCAAACTAATCATATTCTATGTTTAGGCAAAAAGCTGACTGCCATTCTTTGCCTGGTTTATTTAGTCTGTACATCCAAGGTTTCCAATTTGTTTGCTTGAAGGGCCGCGAGGCAGTAATACTGTACTAGAAATAAATGTACTAGTACTTCACGTGCCACACTTTCAATATCGCTTCCAGAAGCCGTTATTATTTCATACACTGTCAAACTGTAATCTCAGTTACAAATGTGACCATTAATAACCCTTATCAAACGTTGAATACCGAGAAAACGTGCCTGATTTTATTGGTAACAGCGCGTTTAACGCATCTTGCAGTTCCCAGATGACCTTTCTCAAATCAAACAATTTTCACTCTTGACTGGCAGAACAAGCCCGGAGACGTGGTTTGTTCCACTGATTAGCTGCGGCGTAGGTTTTAGTGCGATGTTTTCGCGTAAAGCGGTGTTAAATTGCCTCATTATCTGTTGATTGAGTGTCTGAGAGGTGGGGGGGGGGCGCTCTTGACTCCCGCTAACGTGCGTCATTACCCAGATTGCATCACGCTTGACCTCTCACCCTTCCCATCACTTGGGGGGATATTTCACGCTTTTCTAAATGAAAAAGCCAATTTTACTCCTTATCACCGTTTTACAGCGGCTTTCTTATGACTTTGATTTATGTTCAGACACGACGACAGATATCATAACAAATGGCCTTTCCGAACTCATTTGTCCGTGCTAGAATTTTTCACACCAACTACATCACGATAAACAAGACACAAACGTCTGAGACGGTTGTAAAACTCATTTTACACGCCCTGAAACAGAAGAGTTACGGTCTCGGGTGCCTTAAGCTGCTTCAAGAACGTCATTACTTCTTTATCTCGCATTTAGGAAGTGGCTTCA